CTTAGTGATTAAGAGATTGTTGTTATCCTTGAAGTCCCGAGTTCAAGTATGTATGTAGGGTTATGAGCGTTTATTGTCAAATAGTTAAAAGTATTTATACATATATTACATTGTATTCACCCTAAATTAAAAAAAATAAAAACTCAAAACTCAAAAAACTACTTCTAATTTATTTAATATTTAAACTTATAACGATTGAAATTGTAATTAGACCAAAAATTTGAGAACATAGACTTATCATTCTTTAGTTCGACCCATACTTGATTAAATGTTTAATAAATTTTTATATTTTTTAAATTTAAAATATTTATTTTTACATGAACCAAAATACTATTAAATCAAAATTATATAAAAAATATATAAATTTTAACAGAGGTTGGGGCTCTAACGGAGCTCCGCCCATGAGGTCAGGTCCTCATGTCTCTTTTTTTTAATGTACTTACTGTCGTATATCATTAATATCATAATTTATAATTGCTTTTAGAATATTATTATTGAGCACGAATCATCTTATTTCAGTGGTTAAAGAAATCATTATTGTTTGTAGAAATCACGAGTTTAAGTACCAATAATTAAAGTAGGTTGGGTGATTGAGGGTTCGTTGAAAAAAATTATTGTTGAATAATTGTGAATTACAGAAAAACAGAAAAGATCCAAATTAGGGGAAAACAAAAAACAAAAAACAAAAAAAAAAAGTAAAAGTCTACTTTCCTTTCGCAATAATACACGTATTCAACATTTTCATCTTTGACTAACAAAACACTTTGTTTTCTTCCTCTTCCCAAGCATGGAAAATGTTCTCTGTTTGTATGTGTTATATATATATACATACATAAATATTATAAGTGGATAAATTATATAGACCTATTTTTTTTTTTTACTTTTTCCTAATTTAATGTATTATGATATTTAATACATTAGTGATGAAATAAAAAATTTCAACAGGTAAAATTTGTATTTTTTTTCATAGTTTGGGTGCATTAATCGAATTACCTCGATAGTTACAAGAATGGTTATTATTCCTAGAGACAACGAGTTCGGACACCAGCAACTGCAGCATAGGTGATTGAGCGTTCATTGTCAAAGGATTGAGAATATTTAAAACAAATAATACTTTATAACCATCTTACCTTAAAAATATAGTTTAAATATAAGAATATATGTGAGTATAGAGTAAGTTTTATTTGTACTATAAATATAAGAATATATTTTTTTGGTTGTCCCTTTTTCCCATATGTATGGGGTAAGGGGGAGGTAAGATAGGGTGTAAGCGTTCAATATCAAATAGTTGAGAGTTATCTTTGAACAAATATTGTTTTATACTTACCTCGTATTAATAAAAAATTCCTAATTAGGATTAATAAGTAAATTTGATTTATTGTTTTTTATTTATATAGATTATTCTATGGCTTTTTTTTCCATAAAAGAATGAATTAATTGCACCATATGTACTCAAACTATAACCCTCATTTTAAATTGGTCTTTAAACTTTTGAATATTATTTCTTCCCCAAACTATGACTGCTATTCCAAATTAGTCCTTAAATTTTTTAACATTCTAATTTCATCCCTAAACTATGATCTCTTTCTAAATTGGTCCCCAAACTTTTGAATATTCCAATTTCAACCCCAAATTCACCCAAAAAAAGTAATTAATTTCAACAATAATTTAACAAAAAAATTATATTTTTTCAAACATATAGTAATATAACTTGAACTAACAATTTTATTAACAAGGGATGTAATTAGTAAATACATATAGTTTGTGATGAAAGTGAGATGTTCACAAAGTTTGGGGAACAATTCAGAATAAAGGTCATAGTTCAGGGATGAAATTCAAATTTTCAAAAATTTAAGGACTAAATTAGAATGATAGTCATAGTTTAAGGATGAAAATGAATAACCATCTTAAATGAAAGTCATGCTTTAACTCTAAAAAAATATCTAACGTAAGTATTGGTACATATAGTTGAATTTGGTTAAATTGATTATTGATTTTTTGTTTAGTCTTTGAATTTGATAATTTTGATCAATTTGGTCCTTAACTTATTTTGGTTGAATTGATCTTTAAGTTTAATAAGTCTATTCAACGTGTACAGTCCTTGTTAATTGAAAATTTTAATTTTTCTCATCTTATTCTTAAATCAATCTTATGATGATAAGTGTCATCGTTTGATTGGTTCTAATTAATTTAATAAAAATAATTATATATAATTAATTTAAATAAAAATATGGGTGTGATGATATGACAAAATGTCACGTTTTTGTGTATAAAACTTTTTTGATTTTATTTTTTATGATCTGACATGATGACGTATATATGTCATGTAAGTAGTTTTTTTGTTTATATGTACGCGCTAAATTAACTCCAAGTATTGGACGTTTGTTGATTAACGATTTTCATTTATAATTTTTTATGTTTTAATATAAAACGTTAGGATAAAAAGTTCTCAAAAAAGTTTACCTAAGACATACCTAAGAGTGATTGTTAAGACTCAATTGAGATTTACATAGAAATTTACAGATTGCCCACCAAGAGTTATTGTGGTAGGATTCGAACTTAACCTTACAATATCAAAGTCCTGAATCTCAACCACTTGTACCAACACTCATTATCGGTTTTACATGATTCTTTTAACTACGTGTATTTCTCATTTATTTGTTGACGATTTAAATATAAATTATTTTTATCTAATCAATTAAAATCACACAAATAATTTTTTTTCATAAAATATTTAATGTTATTATTTTTTTATTAATTTAAGATAAGTACAAAGTATTATACGTTCAAAGACAACTCTCAAATCTCAATCATTTAATATTAATCGTTCGTATTTTTAACATTTATGATGTTCGAACTCAAAATATCAAAAAATAATAACAATTACTTTATTATCGAAATCGTTTAGTTCGTGTAATAACATTATATTTTTTGTGTGAATATGATCAGTTGGCTTTGACTTTTCTCAAATGATCTGCTGAGTCAAAAACTTATTAAATATAAACCCAAAAAAGGAAATTCCACTCTCCCACTGTCCAAACATTTATAATAAAGTATTTTACTTTTTAAAAAATTACATTAAATAACATTATCAACACCTGGTTGATCTCGTGGGACGAAACATTAAATTCTTTAAGTAATATTAGAGGTTTGAATTATGATATTTACAAATGAAATAAATTGGGTCAGGAGAATCAACATCGCTTGTGTGATAATTAATTCGAATTAATCGATTAATAGATCAGTTACTTAATACCGATAATTATAAAAAGGAACAATGTTAAGTGTGGAAGGCAGGTGCGAATGAGTCAAAAGTATCCTACTTGGAGTGAATCTATTGGGCAGAAGATGAGACTATCCGACCGCGTATGGTTAATCCGCATGAGAAACCGAGCTTTGACAAAGACAAAATAATCACGCTGGTCGGCGAAACAAAAAAAAAATCCAAAAGCAAACATTTTTTAGGGTAAATTACTTAAACAATTCACCAAGTTTTGAGGGCCTTGGAATCTTGCTCACCAAACTTTTAAAACTTGAAATACGGGCATAGAACTTTTAATTCGATCTCGTTACACTCATTGTCTTTGGTTGATGTGGCATTTAGAGTCATCTTCTTCCTTTAAACCCTTGAGTTTCTCAGAGTAATTCGTAGCTATCGATATCCTTTCGCTCGTGTTATCACCATATTCAATATTCTTTTAATCGACGTTGTCTCTAAACTAAACACTCATCAAATTTGAGAGTTTTATCATCTTTCAATGATTGTCGAACCATTCATCATCATCATTTTATACATGTTCTAAACATCACAACCACGTATTAGCCACATTCTATAGCCGTAATCACCAATAACAACATATAGTAAACAACAAGTAAAAAAATTAAATTATCCATCTCAGCCTTAATGAATTTACAGAGAACATAATGGTTTTCGATCAATCCCAATAATTGGAAGGCTTCGTTTGACGAGAAAGTTAACATAGTTTAGTTTCAAGCATGCCCGATGGTTGACAATACATATAAAAAAGTTTTAGCTTTTGTTTTCAATTGGGATTTGATGAGATTAGAAGATTCTTTAATGAGTTCGAATCGAAAAAAAGAAAGAGAAGAAAATGAGTAGTAGTCTGGTGGTATTTTCGATTGGAGAAACCACCAAAGTACCATGGTAAAAATGTCAACGAAAAGAACGATGATTTCCAATTTTAGGTTCGAGTAACTTAGAGTTTTTCTAGGGAAAAAGATAACTTTAATGTGTCACGTTGATAATTCCTAGTGGCAGTTGATAACAATGATCATAATGGAAATGAATTAAAAATTCAATGACTATATTGAAAGTTTTAAATTTTAACAACCAAAATGCAAGCATCCTAAAATATTTATGACCATTTATGTAATTTACCTTTTAAAATTATAAATTTAGTATCTTAGCTATCACTTTTGTTTTGTTTTATTTTCTTTTGGTCACTCCAACAATTTTTTTTAAAAATCATATCTAACGTTATATTTTAGTTTCATGTTGGTCACCCACTGTTAAAAAATTAACAAAACTATTGACTGACAATTCTATTTTTTTCAATAATGATGTGTCATTATCTTATGATGACACATCAACATCACCGTTAAGTTTTAACGAAAAGTGACCAAAGTGAATTAGGTATGATTTTGAAAAAATAATTGTGTGGCCAAAATGAAACAAAACTGATATTTTAGATACTAAAAATGTAGTTTACCCTTTAATGAAAAAGCTTTGTCTTATTATTTCATCATATATGTATGAAAAGAGAGCTTGAAAAGGCTAAAAAGACTGGAAAAAAATTCAAACTAAAAAACCTGTTAATCAAATAGTCAAAACTCCGACCTTCTTGAAGTTGAACTACCGCCCTCGTCTTCTATAAATACCCATTTCATTCTCTTCACTGAACATCAAATCAAATTCATCTGACATTGTGTTATTTCTTAAGTAGCTTTATAGACAAATACCGCTAGAGATCTAGAGATACAGGGAGATTCTGCAATACTATAAATGGAGTTGTTAAAGCTATCTCAAGCTTTTCTGAGCTTAGCAATGGCGGCTTGTCTTCTTTATTTGTTCTTGAGATTGTCATTCTCTTGGTGGATTCTGCCCATTCAAGCTTTTCGCAGGATTAAGAAGAATGGGTTTGGAGGTCCAACTCCTAGTTTCCCTCTGGGAAATATTACAGAGATGAAAAACAGTAAGAACGTTGATGATTCTTCACTTGGATTCTCCGGTATTTCCCATGATATACACTCGTCGGCGTTTCCTTATTTTGCAAAGTGGCAAAAGACTCATGGTAAGTCTTTGCCTGGTTTCATGTACTTGAAAATTTTTCAAACCCTGAAATTTGTTGATGACGAACTGTTGTTCTGTTTGGTTTGCAGGAAAAGTGTTTATCTACTGGCTGGGGACCGAGCCATTCTTGTATATTTCTGAGCCGGAGTTCCTCAAGAAAATGTCTTCGGAAGTGTTGGGGAAGAGCTGGGGAAAACCCATGGTGTTCAAAGTTGATAGGAAGCCCATGTTCGGAAGTGGGTTAGTGATGGTTGAAGGAGACGATTGGGTTCGCCATCGCCATGTTATCACTCCTGCATTCTCCCCAGCTAACTTGAAGGTATCACTCTTAACCGTTGGTCTATATATGTAACTGCTCGAATACATATACTTTAATTAAAAAAGAAGGAAATTGATTCCAGTTTTGATAATGTAGGCTATGGCAAGCTTGATGGTAGAACCGACTACGATGATGCTGAACAAGTGGGCGACTCTGATAAGCTCCGGTCAACCAGAAATCGACGTCGAAAGAGAAATCACAACCACGGCGGGGGAGATCATTGCGAGGACGAGCTTCGGGTTGAGCAGTCAAAAGGGGAGTGAAGTGTATGAGAAATTGAGAGCCACACAGATCACACTTTTCAACTCCAACCGCTACGTGGGTGTTCCTTTCAGCAAATGGGTTTGTCTCAAGAAAAACCTAGAGGCCAGAAAACTCGGCAAAGAAATAGACCGACTCCTTTTGTCCATCATCGATGATCGTAAGAAGGCTTGGGACGGTTCCCCTCAGAAGGATTTGTTGGGTCTATTGATGGAAGGCAGCCATGTCGACGGCCGGGCAGGGAAGAGCTTGACGACGAGGGAGCTTGTTGATGAGTGCAAGACTTTCTTCTTTGGTGGCCATGAAACCACCGCGTTGGCACTCACTTGGACCTTGCTGCTTTTGGCCTTGCACCCGCAATGGCAATATCAACTGAGGGAGGAAGTTAGAGAGGTGATCGGAGATGACGATGACATCGAATTTTCTCGACTTACCTCCTTAAAGAAGGTACGTTTTCTCGTTCTTTGTTCTCTCAAAAGGGGTGAATCATCTACGACAGATGAGTGAAATTTATTTCATTTCATTTCGACTGTGATGTTGATTTTATCACGTGGAGAAATGTCACGATCGATAAATATATATATTCCCTTTATGCATGAATTATGAAACGAGTTTCACGTGGGTAAATGTTTGCAAAGATATTGATATGATTTCCGTGGCTACGATTTGCAGATGGAATGGGTGATGAAAGAGGTTCTAAGGCTATACTCACCGGCGCCAAATGCACAAAGGCAAGCAAGAGAAGATATAAAGGTGGACGATCTCATTATCCCCAATGGAACCAACATCTGGATTGACGTGGTGGGCATGCACCATGATCCGACTCTATGGGGCGCCGACGTTAACGAGTTCCGACCGGAGAGGTTCAAGGAAGATAACCTCTACGGAGGGTGCAAGCACAAGATGGGGTTCTTGCCGTTCGGGTTCGGGGGGAGGATGTGCGTCGGGAGGAATTTGACGATGATGGAATACAAAGTTGTATTAACACTTATGATTAGGAGGTTTTCCTTTTCGACATCTCCCAACTATCGCCATTCTCCTTCTATTTTGCTTTCCCTAAGGCCTAGACATGGACTACCTCTCATTGTTCAACCCCTTTAGGCTTAGTTATCAAAAGGGCACAACAATTTACACCAAAGCGTATTATCTTCTCTTTATGTATTTGTGTACGTATCATCTACATAGTGCATAATACCCTATGTTAGTTGTACTATTTTCTCTAAAAGTACATATATTAAATCATGTGATGTTTTATAAGTGTATTTCAATCAATTCGTTAACATAATAAATATTTTTTGAGATATTGAATACGATATTGTAATAATATTTTGTATCAATATAGACTTCCCATTGACAGGCGAGTTTAGTTGATGATGCATTATTGACTGAAAATGACAACGTGATTTGCATGAGAATTTTAGTATGCACCAAACCTTGATGGTTCCTTCTCTATGCTCGATACCACGGGGTCGTTTTGTTAATTCGAACCGAGGTAAACAAATGAATTAAATTATAGATAAATTTCATTAATTTAGTCGCAAGGTGAGTTTGCAAAATAATAAACGAGAATAATAATGATAAAATAATAAAAATTAGGGTAAAGTACAAATGGTATTTCGACTGTAGGACATTGCTTTATTAAGTCCTTTGACTATTACAAGTTACAAAATAGTCCTTCGACTATAGAGTGTTGTTTTGTTGAGTCCCTAAACTATTAAAAGTTACAGAACGGTCACCCGACTATTCATTATGTTCCAAAATCGTCCTTTTCTGTTAAAAAATGATGGTATTCTGAGTTGAACATTAAATTGCTAACTATTATCGGAATCCCAAAAGACTATAATATCTCAGTATCATGTTAACACCCAGCTTAGGCAAACACTTATTTTTTAATGGAAAAGACGAGTTTGGAACATAATGAATAATCGAGCAACCATTTTGTAACTTTTAATAGTCGAAGACTCGATAAAGCAATATTCTATTGTCAAAGTATTGTTTTTTAACTTTTAATAGTCGAGAGACTTAATAAAATAGTACTATATAGTCGGTAGATCATTTCTATACTTTACCCTAAAATTATTATTTAATCGAACGTGATAAAATAAATATAGAAATTAAAATAAAGAACGAAATTGTTTACTCGAATGTAGGCATAAAATTGAATCGATAGAGAAGTTGAGGTTTATTTACACATTCTCTTTTAGATAATTTCAGTCGTTCTTACGGTGATGGAGAAACATTGGTTGATTGTTTTCCGTGATGTAATAATGATATGAGCGAAGTAGTAGTATGATTGTAGTGTTTAGCGAACTATATCTCCGCCTTCTTCTATCACCGAAAACTTTTGAAAATAGAGAAAATAATATTTGAAGTGTGTGCCTAATCTTGTAGGTGTACACTTTAAATAGGGGATTCACCCTCGAGAATTATATATCCGCCATTAGTGCATAATATTTTCCCCTCATGAATTAAGGTAACACTTACCTAAATAAAATAATATTGAATTATTTAACGCGACTCGAATCGTGTGAGTGTTAGACTTTGTATCCCACGAATATGGGATAAATTTTCTATTTTTTCTTCACACAATTCATAGGTAGTTTACTTTAAACATCAATTTCTCATTTATTTATACCATTATAAAAGTCTCGTGGAATAAAATATAAAATCGTAAATTTATGATCTGATCCTCTACATTTATCCATGAAAATATACCTCAAAGTCTCTAAAAATATCCATTTTTTTCTTACACAAAAAGATTGATGCTAACTTTACCCAACAACTTGATGAATTAGAGGAGCATTTGTATTTGTGTTTCATGCCCATAAATAGGGCCAGAAACCTTGTTGTTAGAGAAATTCTGAATCCAGGTCCGTTTCAACCCGAAAATCCGCTCCGATTTGTTCTTTAACAAGAATCATATAAATAAATTAACACAAATCATGTACCTGATTTTGGTGAGCGAGTCTCTTCACAAAATTTTAGTATACTCGAAGTCAAGATCTGCTCAAGCGATGTCGAGTTATTTATCACTTCAACGATAAAAAGATATTTATGGATTCAATCTTTCACCTTAGATTCAGAGTAATACATTCTAAAAGCTCTAGGTAAATACACAGGCAACAAAAACCCAAACAGATTGAAGCACCAAAACGCCATATTAGCCAAAGCAAGCACTCTCCCAACGTAAACTCTGTACTTACCAGGCTCATCATCATCCGCCTTTGAGAACTCAAACCTCATCCACTCCACCAGCGTGAAAATCCTCCTGGAATTGTAAAACACCGGCACGAAAGCCCTAACCGGAATCGAAAGCCTGCCTGAAAACGCCACCCCTTCCATGAAGACTTGACTTGTCAAAAGAAAAACATGCGGCGCCGCCGCCTTCGTCCCTCGGCTATCGCCCACCAGGACCCCGTGAATGATGTAGGCCGCCGGGAGATAAATCCCGATGATGGCGCCGGCCGTCACGTACAAGGGAAGAATCTTGTTTCGTGGATCGAAAACCTTGGAATCTTTCGGAGGCACGTTCCGTGGGAAGGCGACTCTGAGAAGAAAGTACATGTAGACGATGGAGAAAACCACAAAGGCCAAGTCCTCCGTGCTAACCATGCCGCTTGCAGTGAGGATGATCATAACGGCGAGACAACTGAGGTGCATGAGGCGTGGCATTTCTTTATTCTCACCCTCTTTTTTTTGTTCTTCTTTCTCTAGAAAAGAAAGGATGTGAAAGAAATTTTCCTGGAAAAGTTACAGTATGGAGAGTAATAGAAAAACCTTAAAGCCGAAAAGAGTAATGTAAGGCGGAGAGACCCAGACACGAATTTTGGATAGGATTTGGCAATGGATGGCTGAGTTGATGGAGGAGGACAAGTGGCAGCCGTGGAGTATTGGCATGGAATTGAAAACATATATATTTAAAGAAAAATTATTAAATGATCTCGGCTCACCACCTCACTTGTAGTCTTAATTAAAGATGGACATGAGTTGAGATATATTTTTTATCAATCCGACTGTGACCCGAATATTGCACTCCTTCACCCGAACTTGACTTTGGAAATAAAATAGAGGAAAAATGGAAGAAATACATAACACTTGCTCCGAATAAAATCTGATTCAATATGTGTTGGATTTGAAATTCAAGACTTGTTTCTAAGTTATAAAATTTCAGTTTCAATGAAAAAATGATTAAAAAATAGAAGAAATAGAAGAACAAAGAAGATGGAAAATAGAAGATGAAGAAACCCTAACATATATACAGTGGCAGTTTTGTAAATACACTAAAAATTATATATGGGTCGGATCGGATTTTTGTAGTGTTTAACCTGAATCCGATGATCACTCTCATAAAACCCAGCCCGACCTTAACCCAAATTTTAGAGAGAGAAAAAACTGACCCTATCGGATCGGGTCGGAACCAGTCGGATCCGAATCTCATGCCCAACCCTAGTCCTAACCAATAACATTTGTCCACCTCATTTTTTTCAAGATGAATATTTACATCTTCCTACATGTAAATAAAAATTGGGTGATTATTTGGAAGTTATTTTAAAATTTGTGGTTGTCATTCATTGTGACATAAATGACGCGGTGACTGAGTCCATGAAATATTTCTCATATTTAAATGGTTAACATAGCACGAAGCGACGTCGATGGTAAATGAATTATTATTCTTAAAAGTTCTAGGAGTTCGAATACAAAAAATATTAGGAGTGTGAGTGTTTAATATCAAATGATTTAGAGTTATTTATGAACAGACAATGTCTTGCATTTACCCCATATTAATGAAGAAAGGGTTAACATAGCTTTTGGTAAATTATACACGAACTAAAAGAAAGAATTATTGTTATTCTTTGACGTTTTAGATTCTAGCATTATGTAAGTAGAAGAATGTTAAATGTCAAATGGTTAAGAGATTTTGAATATATATTACTTTATATTCATTTCAAACTAATTAAAAAAAGTTAATAAATTATAAATATCACCATTCAAATTATTTCTCATTTTTATTTCAATTATTAATATTTAAAATATTCAATTTTATCATTCTAACTTTAGTTCTACTGTTCGTTTGGTCAATTCTTTATTAGATAATCAACAACTTTATGGCATACAAGCCGATATAAAAAATAAAAGGCAAAAATACATTAAAAATCTATGTACTTTTGAAAAAAAATCAATGTGGTCCTCGTATTATTTTTCTCTCAATGTGGCTCCCAAACTCAGAAAATAAACACAATGTGGTCATCTGACTAATATTTTTCGTCGTTGACCGTTACAATACTGGTGTGCTAGTTCATGGTGCTAAAGTGACATCCTATCTGTAATGTTTGAGTTATCAATTCAGTCAATCTGTAAGGTCATATTGTGAACTGCCACATCAGCATCGTAACGGTTAAGGACGAAAAAATGTTGGTCAAAAGAACACATTGAGTTTATTTTCTAAGTACGAGGGTCACATTGGTTTTTTTTCAAAAATACAGAGACCTCTGATTTTTTTTTCCAAACTCAAATAATGCTTTTTATCTTTATAAAACTATTTTTCTTTCTTTTTTTTCCTCACATTTTTTCTTAATCTGTATAGATTCAGGCCATCACCGACATTGATATAGATTGATGAGTCTCAAAATTTTCTATCAAACTTCTTTCGTCCTTTTAAGTACAAATTTAGTAAAAAAAACACCCTAGACTTCACGAATCTAACATTGAATGATTCACTTTCTTATTCTTCAATCTCTATTGATCGTCATTAGATGAATCTCGAACGAAAATATGTGACTTTACGTTCCCTTTGCTATCTAGAGCGTTGAGATAATTGAGGATCCCTTCACAAGTATATGAAAGATGCTTCTGAGATTCCCTTATTGATATACCAATCATTAGAATGATTTTTGACTATTCGTCCAAATAAAAAAAAAAGTGAACCACAAAAGTCTCTCATGGTCTACTTCCTTCAACTTTATATATAAAGATGACCTTAGGATCGCTCACTCCTGAATCAATGCTAAAAGATCATAGGAATGCTTCTAAATGATATGTCTATGTTTGGTCAACAAGATTGTCCTTCAATAAGATAGCCTGATGATAGCCTGATGAGTAAGAGTGTGAACAGTTGAGGCAATGACATACATAAATGGATCACTTCAACACCCTCAAGCACCAAACACTACAACAAATTTTCTTATTAGTGGCATCTAGATTATTATCACTAAAACTTACATTTACGTCACTAATTTTATCTTGTTACGTAAAAGTTGATGCCATAGCGATCGTCACCCTAGGTGTGTCACTAAATGTCAAAAGTGACGATGTCTTTGTTTGCGTCATGAATTGTTAAACATAGCAACGCTAATGGATAATGTCACCGTTTAATTTGTATTCAGTGACAATTAATTTTGTCACCGAATGATGTAGAGTTTTGTCATTGATAAATCATATCGTCACTAATAACACAATAATTTTGTTGTATACGCGACGAACAAAAAATTGTCACATTGTTAGTGAAGTAGTTTATCGTCACCTAATTATAGTATGAATGGCATTTATATATAATGTCACTTTATAATTGATAATTGATGACAACTAGTTATGTCACTAAATTATATGAAATTTCGTTATTGATAATTTATATCGTCACAAAAAAATACATTAAAATCAACTTATATGTGACGAAAAATATATTGTCACATTTTTAGTGACGTAATATAAATGTTACCTAATAATATTATTAAGGCTTAAGGGTCATATTTGCCTCTGTAGTAGACCCAATATATCATTTTTGCCCATATCGTATTTCTCATCAATTTAGCTCTCAAAGTTATTTAATTGTATCATTCTATACCCTACCCTAACTTAAACCCTAAATTATAAACCCTAAGTTAGGATTTAGAGTTTATGGTTTATTGTTTAGAAGTTATGGAGTTATAGTTTAGGGTTTATAATTTACGATTTTAAGTTAGGGGTAAGGTATATGATGATGCAATTGAGCAATTTCGAGGGTTAAATTGATGCAAAAATACGATAGGGGCGAAAGTGATAATTTGAGTCTACTACAAGGGCAAAATTTACCCTTTCAACTTATTATTAATGATGCTTATACATAACATCACTTTATAATTTATATTCAATGAAAAATTATTACGTCACTAAATTATATAAGATTTCGTTATTGATAATTTATATCGTCACAAAAAATACATTAAAATTAACCTATATATGACGAAAGAGATATTGTCAAATTTTATAAATATTACCTAATAATATTATTAATGTTGCTTATACATAACGTCACTTTATAATTTATTCTATGACAACTTGTCACGCCACTAAATTATATAAAATTTCATTACTGATAATTTATATTGTCACGAATAATTCATTAAAATCCACCTATATGTGACGAAAGAGATATTGTCATTTTTTAGTGGCATAAAATATCGTTACGTAATAATATTATAAATGACGATTATGCATAACGTCACCTTATACAATCGTCACCAATATATTGGTAAAACAAATAATTATCATATTTTTAATGATAATATATATTAAAATAAAATTATTTATACTAATCTAAACAAAAAATAACACGGTTCAATTATTGTGGAATAATGAAACTTAAACACATATTTACTAAAGAAAATAATAGTTCTACCTATAAAACACTTAAACGTTTAAAGAAACTAAAATAATATGACCATAATATGACGTGTGGAATGACTTGTTCCGGGAATCTCAATTCAAATCTTGTGTCGGTTGTAATTTTGTTGATGATGAGTTCGTGGTATCATTTAAAGCTACAAATTAAAATAATTATTAACATTAGTTACACAATTAAAATTATATAATAATTTTTATTTAATTAAGTATATTCTTTACCTAAAGAATATCCACAGCAGACGAATGAAAAATAATCCCCTCTTAACTGCAATCCCATTCGGGACAGATACCAAACAACCAACAAAATGTCATGTACGAACGAACGAAGTAGCCAGGCATCGAGAAAGTAAATAACCAAGAATTAAAACATATAAAACCACATACCACAAAGAAGACCAATAGAAAGAACATGCACCGAAAGTTTAGAAACATCGATATTATCAAAGAAAGGATTAAGAGAAAACATTATTAAAATAAGTTTGATTAAAAACATAAAAAGTAACCTTGGGATCGTTGGATGTTTGGTAAGTAAAAAGAAAATCAAAATAAAAAGAATAATTAATAAAAGTAATCAATATTATTAAAAAAAATAAAAGAATCACCAGTATATTGATAATTACACCATACTATAAGTACAGAATCATATTTAGATCAGTCATTAGTTCCAAGATATTCAAACGAAGGAATGTCCTGACCCACGTTTAAGTTCCTGATCCGCCACTGCTTAACACGGAGGAAGTCCGACTCCGCACATACCGCCCACCCTTCTGATCTCGATCCTGTCGAAAACCCTTTTATAATCCGGACTTCGCATGTACGCACAAAAGCATGGCGCATGTTCCCTTGTCTTGGCACAACAGGTGGGTGATGGGGTTGGCTTCTTATGCTCATGCAGGCACGGGCTCAATAAATCCAGAGCGTAATCGCATGTCGGTTGCGCTGCTACTTTCTGATGCAGGGGATCCGAGACAGATGATGATGAGCTGTCAGATTGCACCTTGATGGCGCTGAGATACCATGAATTGACAGATCAGCGCAAAGGCGGGAATTGATTGTGACATGTTCTCATTGGGGTCGTTTTGAGTATGTTTCAGTCTTTTGGCCATAACTTTGGCTATGTTCAGAATCGCGCACAAGACCCAATCCGAAAGCTCTTTTCGACGCACGCTCTCCACATTGAGATACGCTCATGTGGCCTTTTTTTCAACCTCAAATTTGCCGTTTTCCCCTCCAAATCATAGATTTAATATTTTTATTATTTATGGTAATATTCGATTGTCAATTAGGAAATCAATTTAAATCGATTTAGGTCGGATTTTTTGGAGATTGCTTATTTTATTTCGAATTTCAATTTAGAGTGATTTTCGGTTTTGCTATTTTTGGCAAAATTCGAATAAAGACAATTTTTGGCTATAACAGTCCGGCTTGTGACTGATTTTGGCATTTTTTGATTTGATAATATTTTATTAAACCCTAGAGACTTTTTTCTAAACCCTAGAGACTTTTTTCTCTTTTTTTTTGGCGAATTTTCTCTTGTGAATCATCTGTTTGAGCGCTTGCATGATAATCACTATTCTATCTGACGTCACTTTCACACCAGAAAAACCACCACAAATAATACCACTGTACACAAGACGATAGAGACCTTGGTCATATTGTTATTTTTTATTTAAACAAATTGAAATACCGGTGATTGTTTATTGAGTTGATGCTTTTACATATATTTGATACAATTTATAATAGTTGGAGTTGGAGTCTTTGAGATATTTAAACCATACATATAAACCTAATAGCGAAATGTTTGGTTGAACATTTGGTTGAACATTTTGTGAGAGAGAAATTTATGAGTAAATATTAAATTAAAAAGGGTATGTTTAATAATAGAATATTGATATTTTCTTAGTTTTAACCGTTATAATTCATTTTTAAAGGTTAAAGTATACAAATGGTCCACTGATTATAAGATATTTTATTAAATTTTTTGACTATTAAAAGTTACAAAATGATCATTTGACTATAGAGTGTTGTTTTGTTGAATCACTCGACTATTGATTATATTCCAAACTCTTCATTTTCCATTAAAAATTGACGGTTGTTTAAGCTCGACATCAACATGATAACTAAGATATGATAGTTGTCATCACGACTTTTAGACCCGTCAATAAAAATTATACCTAAGCAGAAAGAAATATAATCTTTATATTAAACCAAATATAAATTATTAAATATAAAATTCATCCCTTACATAAAATAAGACGGTAAAATGGCAATTATACAAGTGAAAATGAAGAACACCCTTTTTCGATGTTAAAATTGAAACAAGCCAAAAGGATCTGGAAACAGAGTATATGAAATTACAAAGAAGAAACTACTTTATACTGGTTATTGTCAGAACAATGGAATCAAATCATATGGGAAGTGATTTCTTGTTCAGCAAGCATTGCAACTCTTCCTGCACGTACCATAGTAATCAGGAGAACCAACCATGAAAGCCGGGTTCCTTTGACATTCCCCGATAGAAGCCCAATGAGGACAGCTGGCGTCTTCGTCCGAACATTCATCGTTTCTGCCAAAGCGGGATGAGATGGTTTCTCTGGGAACAGCCCTCAGGTAGAAGAATTTGGTGGCACACCACATTTCTCCTTCGAGAACAGGGCATCGAGCATGCGAGCTACTACCGTCCGGAGATCCATTGAGGTGAGTCGTGAAGAACAAAACGGCGTTTCCCTTGACAGGTTTCTGGAAGTTGCTGGTCTTTGTACAATCTGACCACGTCTTGCTCTTTGGCTGCAACGGTAGGGAATCCGTTTGTTGGTGGAGTAAGCTTCTTAGCTCCGAATGTTTAGCAAAGGTTTCGAGATATATTCGTACTCACCTCTGTGTGGGGGAAAAGAATCTCACCACCGTGGGTAACATTTGAAAGATACAAGATCACGGTTGCCAACAAAGGCTCGCTCAAATCCCGCCTGGTTTTATTGCCGAAATAATCCAGGTTTTGTTCGGCCTCCTCAAGTTCATAGCGGCTAACATATAGAGGACTACCATTCCCTGAGGCACAATGAACATCGAGTTCCAGTAAAACAAGAATGTATCTTATGAGAAAACAACCATTTTAAGGAAGATGAAGAACATGGATGAAGATACCTTTAGGAAGGAAAGTCCAAGCCGAAAGTCTTTCTTCAATCATTGCAAAAACTGTATCCTAGAATACAAAAATATATTTCTATGCTATAGAATCATTCATGAAACATGCTTCCGAATGTAGATGAACTTCATTTATTAACTTATCATTTCGTGATATTCATAATAAATAGATCTTTTTCAGAGTTTTTAAGCTAGTTTAACAAAGATTTTAAAGTTCACGGATGTTTGGAATATGAACACAACAGAAAATGGGGCAATGTGTGTGAGGAAAGCAATACAACAAAGAAAGTTACATCAATCTACCTTACTAATCAAGATGAAAACGGATTTAATGAAGTATTTAGGTCAAAGGGTATATTAGTTATTGTACTACGTAATGTTTTAATGTAAATGCATGACACTACCACGTTGATAGAATCTCTACTTTTCCTGTAAGTACATCTCTCCCTAGAAAGAACTTTCCGAGTTGAAAAAGAATGATAGATTAGTGATAGAACAGTTTGCAATAGCTAGCTACACAGTCTAACTGTGAAGGTATGGGTGTTACATGTAATGGAGAACCTCAGCCAGTGGTCAAAGAGCTTGAGGTGGCCGAAGCGTTGTAATGGAGGTAGCAATATCTACAAGTGCACACGTTCAGCCTTGCACGTTGCAATGTAAGGAGTAGACCATTATGTCTTCTATCGACAAATAAAGCAGGTAAAATTTCATTAGTCATCTGTGTGGATGATAATGTTATTACTAGTGAATGGATAAAACCATTGGAATCATATCTCCAGACAAAATTTTAGACAAAGGTTTTAAGAGATTTATGATATTTCTTAGCCGTAGAAGTTGCTGGATCTTGTGAGGGGGTTTCACTATCCAAAGCAAGCATCTACTTGACTTCAGGAAATTGGACTGTTAGGAATTAGGATTGCAGACATCTTGATACTCCTATGGGTCTTAACAAATAGTATGGAGTCATAGTTCGAAGCTAAAATAATCGGTAGAGGTCCTATGTTTTCCTTTTTCCTTTTTCTGGTAGCTACATGCATGCTACGTACAGAAGCAGAACGATAGTAGAAAAGGAGAATTTTTTGGATAAATCAGATTTTATTATCCAAAGAACAGAGTCTCCTACAAAATACAATCAGGTTCCGAAACAAAATACAAAATACTTACAAAAAGAATCAACGATCTTCTATACCCCAGTGATTGCATAAAGTAATATTAACACTATCTACTCTATTAATGTGTCTACCCCTTAGTTGTAAACTAACAGTATCTTTAATGGCTTTAAAGATTTCTTCTGCAGACCTGAGACGATTTTGGAACACCCTTTTGTTCCTCTCTTCCCATATTGTGTAAATGAGGGCATTGAGAGCTATCTTCATGACCAAAGTGAGCAGTGATTTGCCTTTCTAAGTTGAGTTGGTCCATGCCATGAAATCTTCCCAAGAACAGTTAGGAAATCGTAAACCAGAGAGTGAGAACACTGCTTTCCAAATAGTGACAGCAGTTGGGCATTTAAAAGAAAGATGCTCCCTTGTTTCCAAATCAGAATTACAGAGAACACAGTGGTTATCGTTGATAATCTCTATTCGTTGAAGTCGATCCTTTGTTGGAAGCTTATCAAGAAAAGTCATCCAAGTTATGAGGCTGTGCTTAGGTATATGCAGGAGAAACAGAAAAGGAGAATTGATACATGTACAAGAGTCCATAATAATGACAACACATGCTACTTTGGACTAATGATTATACTTGTACCTATTAAAAGAACAAAGTCTCGAAGATTCAAATCATATCTACTCGGTAAGTATAATGTGAGTGAATTCTTAAAAGGCTCTAATGTTTCTCCCATTGATGTTTCAGATTCAAGATCGAATCCTTTTGAAGAGAGGGAGGATGATACATGCATCATAAGGCTCACATCAAAGGAAATGGACTAAAGCTTCCAATGGACTCACACGATCAAGCCTTGGAAAAGAAGACTAATAGATCACAGACTTGCGACTGTTTTTGAATGAGACCCTGATGTTATTTGGTCAATATTCTTCTAGATTTACAACCGGCTATCTCTTCGTTTTCCAACGGTTCTTGAATCACCTCAATCCGATTTCGGAAACTCAAGATATGATCATTTAGTGAAGAAACAATATTATACTACAAAATTTTTAATAGTCGATGAACTTAATAAAATAATATTATATAATCCAATGACATTTTATAATTTTTTAATAATAAAAAACTTAATAAAGTAGTGTCGGGATCTTCGGTATAATTTATCCTAAAATTTAATAATAAAATTTTACTATACTACAATTACTAGATAATTTAAAATTAAAAAAATCAGAAAAATAAACAACAGCCTTGGTTTTCCTGGCGGCCACTTTCGGCGAAAATCGGGTGGTTTTCGTATGGTGAACGCTACAGCATGGGACCTACGAAAGAATCACATTTACCCTATCACAGATGCCGGTCCACTCGTTTATAAAGCACCGTCACCAAAACCAATCATAAGTTCCCCTTGCACTCGCATCGCAGTTTCTTCCGTTCCTTCGATCTGAGCTGAGCTTTCCTCCCCTTTCAGGCGAAAGGAAAAAACAACCGAAGGGAGGATCAAATCCATCTGTCTTTTTCCTGGTTCGATCTCTTTGATATCTCATTTTTTAATTGTTTTAATTTGTTTTGTCTATTGTTTTCTTCGCGTTGTTTTGACATTTTTATTTTATACGGCCGATGGATTGTAGGTTTTGCTATGGCATCGAAGCGGATCTTGAAGGAATTGAAGGATTTACAGAAGGATCCTCCAACATCTTGCAGTGCTGGTAATGCATATTCTCTCCTTTTGCTTTTTATTTATTACTTATCAAACATTGATTTTTTTTTTTTAACTTCCACTTTGAATTTAGATTTATAGGTAGTTTGAGTGGAGTATAGAAGATCTGCTTGATATGATTATCAGTGTTTTTTTGGATAATTAAATGTTTTATTTCAAGACCCTAAACCTAACGATTTATGTATCTGTGTTGTGTTTCCTGTAATTTCAAATTCAAAATCGTGTTTGAAATTTTTGTACTTGTGTAAGTTTTGACGCCTTGATAATTTTCTTTAAATATATTTTGAGATATGTATGTATTCGTAGGATGCTTGTGACATATATTTTATTGTGTTCACCATGACCGATTGATATTAAGGGTGAGGGTTCGATAGAATTGAATTGAATTGAATCGAGTGAAACAAATTAAGAGTGAACGTTTTATAAAGTCAAATCGAAACTAGTTGAAAGGAGTCCGATCTGAACTTTGGATCGAGTTGAATAAATTATTTTTTAGTTAATTTAAAAGAACTTAAATAGGTCAAATTAAAATTTTGTTGGCTATCTAAATAAAATTTCAAGTTAGAGCACTTAAATTTGAGAGCATATATATGGAAACTTATTTTAAATTAAAATAAGAGAAAAAGAAGCGACTCTTAACTTGATTTATCATTTCTTTTCAAAAGCACTTTTAGACTCTAAAAGTTCTTTTGAAAAGCAATGCTATACGGATAGTTGTTCAGGCCAAAAAGTGTTTTTGAACTTGGGTTGAATAATGTTTTCCAAAAGTTAAAATTTATAGCTTTTTTTTGCCTAAAGCATTTTTTAACTAAATTGCCCATTTGCCCTAATTTATATCATTTTTTTCTATAACCACCGGTATTTGATCTATTGATCGACTAGTCCGGATCGGATATTGCAGAGACAAGAGTTTACTCTATTCGCAATCGCTAGGATTTGAACCCCTGACCTTGTTTAAGAGATCTAGTGTCTCATCCGACTAGACCAATTGGTTGTTGCTCCAAATTTATATCTTTTATATTTTCAAAAACAATGTTTAAAAAATAGGCATTTTATCTATTTAAAGGCACTTTTGACAACACTGCTAAACAAATCTTTAAGATTTGCCAAAATCACTTTTCCACCGCATTTATCAAAAATAATGTTACAACTATCTTTCGAATGAGTTCCATGTTTTGGCACGGTGAAGTATTCCTTTGAAGCTACCCAAATAAAGAATTTAGCTAGAATGTTACTTGATAAAAAATATCAGAGGACAATAGAGTTATTATTATCATAGTTCAAGTAAAATGAATCAAAGTCGTGAATAATGGATGTAAAATTGTCAAAAATCTCACATTTTCAAGTTAATGTAAGGTTGTCTAAGAAACATGTTGTAATTGAAGTAAAATTGTTAAAAAACTCGCATTTTCAAGTTAATGTAAGATTATCTAAGAAACATGTTCTATTAAGATTATCAGTTGTATTACATTGTTGATGACAATCATACACTCACGCAAGTAATGTGAAACTAACTGTACTGAACACCTCCTTGGCTTTTGAATTTCCCTCCGACTCTAGCTACATACACACTTGGCACCTTACTTTTGAAAATAAAATTTCTTCCTAATGGTTAAGCATGAAACCAATTGACTCATACGGAACTTGAATCTGAAACTGCATCTCAAATATGCATGAGAATACATGCAATATGACAAATACTTGGATCTTTGAGATCCAATCCTCCACCATTTTTTGGTTTACTTACTAACCACCTCCTAACTCACTTTGGCACCTGTAGCATTATCTTCTCTAACCTTCCATAGGAAAACCCGAGCATATTTGATCCATTTCTGGATTTATTTTTATAGTAAAACAATTAAAGAACACCAGAAGTTTTGCAAATTGAAGAGTGAAGATAACTTACTGGATTAGTTTCAAAGGGCCTCCTGCCCAGTTGCTTATTCTTCTATTTATTTAATGCATCCATGGATCACAGTTTTTTGCATGGAGTCTGCCAGATGTTGAAGGCTCACCAAAGTACCTTATAGGCTGCCAAGCCTGACAATCTGAAACCAGTAATATTTTTAGATCTTGTAGAATAGCTTGATTAACATTAGCCAAAAGTTTTTCAGATTTTATTCAAATCCTGACATGTTTTAAGGGGACTGTTGGTCTAACATAACCAATGACTGATTTTAACACTAATCGTTAATTATTTGGAAATGATTGTAATATAAGTTGTGCCGCCAAACACATGGAAAAGACGGCCGATCAGTTTCTTTGTTTCACGATGCTGTTGCTTTCACGAATTTTGTTCTTATAAAGACCAATATAATTATAGCATAAAAGAATACCTATATAATTTGTAAAATATTAAAAGCATACATAAAACACTTTAGCATTTCAGTGTGTCAGGTGAAGCTTTTATGAATTGTGTGTTGAACTGGAAGTGGTTGTCTTTTTTTATATTTGGTTATATATTACAAAATTTCCTGAGCTGTGGTTTCATTTGACGCCTTTACATTCTGTTTACAGTCGATGTTAACCAAGTTATCTATTACATTATATTATGCATTTTTTTAGGTGTAATAAAGTTGGTGAAATGTAGAGGAAAACTATGTCTGTTGTCTGGCTGACTTCCATCTCTAGAGATTCTAAATTTTTTTCAGACATTTTATTGTTATATCTGCCCCTTGAAGAAGCTAACGGAACCATTCTGTATGTGATTACTTGTTGCATACTATATTATTGTCTACACGATGGTATTGATATTGTGCAATTTCGTATTTGTTTGCACTCATTTTTTCTGCAATTGGTTATGTGTAGAGGTGCTCGAGGAGTATCACTGAATTTCAATACTTGCATATTCCTTATTTGTTTTCATTCATTGTTGCAGGTCCTGTTGCTGAAGACATGTTTCATTGGCAGGCAACAATCATGGGTCCACCAGATAGTCCTTATGCTGGGGGTGTTTTCCTAGTGACCATCCATTTTCCTCCAGATTATCCCTTTAAGCCACCCAAGGTAACATTTTTTATGTAATTCTACTGCTTTTCTCATGGAGACAGGCTGTTTACCTCTGATGTTTGCTAGAGCATGCAAATTTTCCCTGTTCATTTTGGGTGGTTTCACACTTCATTGTGGATGGAATTAATCGATAATTTTGCCCCTGTAGAGCGGCAGATGCTTTAATGAGCGTAATCAAAACCTTATTTCCATATGATAAACGGGTTTTGCAGGTAGCGTTTAGAACAAAGGTATTCCACCCCAATATTAACAGCAACGGAAGCATTTGCCTGGACATCTTGAAAGAGCAGTGGAGTCCTGCACTAACTATTTCCAAGGTGATTGTCCTCTAATTATCTGTGATATTCCTGTTTGCAACTCATCTCTTCATTTGGATATTCAATGTTGTGGCACAAATGAATCTAATATGAAATAGCCACTCGAACCGAACCTTATGTTGCTCCGACCCTTCATATTTCTTGAAGCATGAGCCATTGAGATATGATGCTCTAAGGATCTTCCGAATATATGATCTTGAAAAAAAAATCCGAACATCCAGTTAACTAGATTAATATAAATCTATTACTTCTGTTTCTCCTATCCCCATTTCTTGAAGCATGAGTATCGAGTATGATGCTCCAAGGATCTTCTGAATATATGATATTGAAAAAAAAAATATTCAAACATGCTTGTGTAGGATTCTAGCCGTCTAGACCTCATATCCAGTCCAGTTAATAGCTTAGTACACAATCAAATTGAGAAGTCAAGAACCTGAAACTTGAATTCCGATCGAACCGGTAGAATGAGAATCCACCTAAATCTCCAGTACCTTAAATGAAAACACACTCTATAGTTAAGCCTTTTGGGTCACACGGATTTCATTTGCTACATGGCTGAATTTTGGTTCATTTAGGTATTGCTATCAATATGTTCGTTGTTGACGGACCCAAATCCTGATGATCCGTTGGTGCCGGAGATTGCGCACATGTACAAGACAGACAGGCACAAGTACGAGACGACTGCAAGGAGCTGGACCCAAAAGTATGCCATGGGCTAAAGGAGCGGTTTGGTGTACGAGGGGATTGGGGAGGCTGTGTTTCTTTTTCGGTGTCATGTGTGAACGATTTGGTCTCCGTCTTCAATGCCTAAAATGCCACAATATTCCCTTGTTTAAAACAAAGAAACATCAAGTGTTGCGTACTTCTGTTGTATGGACAAATGTAACTTCGAAAAACAAAAAACATTTTAAGTGTCCCGAAATCTTAAAAATGTTCAATTCGCTCCCTAAATTCATTTTTATTTCATTAAAAACTCTGGCTGCTCTTTCCAAAGAAAGCATGGTTAGAAGTTCACAAAGAATCATTGAAGAATCGGAGTGGCCATGCGTAATGACTCAGGCGTTCATCTTCTCATCTGGCTTTAAAGAAACCAATGCTCTACATTGTAAAAACTGGGACATAGTAAAGTGTGTATATATACACATTTTATTTTATGTTGATATCGCTATAGTTATTTTTTTCACTCTCAAATTTCTAACAAGTAATCATGAGCAATGGTTTGGGCCTTGGAGTTTTTTAAGGAATTTATTGATATGGATTTTTTTAGTGATTTTGGAGACATTAAAGATGATTTTACTGCAATGAATTTTTTAATTGTATGAGAGCAATTCTCGATTGATCTAGTGATGTTTCAATGAATATTGCATAAGAATTAAGGTTGTTGAAGACTTGACAACAGTGCTTCAACTGATATGCAACTTACATAAAGATTGAAATTGTTGAAGATTTAAAGACCAATTTTTGTTGAAATTTAGGTCAAGGGGGAGATTTGTTATATTTTGACCTAAATTATAATTGGTGATTAATTGAATTTATTATAATTATAGTGGTTAAAAATTACTTAGTAATTGGGTTTATTTAATAAAGTAAATATTTAGTGGTGACCAAATATTTAACTTTATAAATAGAGATCATGTCTTAGAATTTAGGGTAATGTGCGAGGGAATTATTTTACAAAGATGTAATATTTTTTGGGATCTGTAACTTTTGGATTTTATGTTGTAGAGATAATTTTGTAGGGTTGGTGAAAGAGTGTTTTGGGATATATTTGATTTGGTATCTATATCAGCTTATGGGATACACATAATATCATGTATTGGGATACACGTGATATCATGTATTTGTACTCTTCATGTTCTCTACGTTTATAGTAAATTATTGTTCATCTCACTTGTGGAGGTAGGCAAGGCTGAATTACGTTAAATCTTGTCTCTTGTTCATGTCTTATTTTATGTTGATATCGCTTTGGTTATTTTTCCACTCCCCAATCCCTAAAAAGTTATAAATTTTAATTAAACATAATTATTTATTTATTTAAATCTAATGACTATTAATTGGTGTAAAACTTATTAGTTTTACATAGTTTAAGTATATCATAACCCTAAATATATAGGCTAGATCCAATTACATTGTGTAAAACTCTTTCAGTTTTACACCTTTTTAAGACCATTGGATGAGATAAATTAAAGGCTGAGATTAACAGTAGAAAATAAGAAGATGTTCACTAGGAAAAAAAACAAAGAGTTAATCGTAGCCTTTGATTTCCTTCAATCCAATGGTACTAAAAAGGTGTAAAAACTAAAATAGTCTTTACATTGTAATATATAAGGTTAGGATCCCCTTAGTCCTAGTGTAATTACACCCTTTTAGGATCGTTGAATGAGAAAAAAAATAAAAGGTTGAGATTAACTCATTGTTTCTTTTTTCCAATGAATATATTCTCATTTTCTATTGTTAATCTCAAACTTTTATTTTTTTCTCATCCAACGATCCTAAAAACGTGTAAAACTTTATTATGTAATTAGATCCTAACCCATATCATCACAAAATAATAGAGGAATTTTATACCAGACATAAGGAGAGGTAAAAGAGGAATTTTTATTATTATTATTTAATTGTTATTTCTTATATATCTCAGAAGTGAAAAAAAAACACTTTTATTTATTGACTCAAATTGATAGCAAAAGGGTAAACAGTCGATAGTGGTTAAAAATATTTAATTATCATAAATATTAATTTAATAGTCATAAATGTTTTGTAACACCTCAAATTCATCTAGTCCAGAATATGATTGACGATATCATATTGACTGATCGAGATAAAGTCTAACTTTGAGGACACAATATTTTTTGTATGAATGTAGGATCACTTAAGTTTTAGTGAATTTGGTGACTCAACTATTTTTTTTAAATAATACTTTTAATATTATGTTTTAGTTGCATTTTGGTCACCTGTCGTTAAAAAATTAAAGATGATGTTGACATGTACCATAAAATAATGTCACGTCTTCGTTGAAAAAAAAATACCACGTTACTAGTTGTATTTATTTTTAATACTGGTGTCCAAAACGTAAGGTTATGTATGATTTTTCAAACAAAATAGTTAGATGATCAAAATAAAACAACTAGAATAAGTGGGTGACTAAATTCATAGTTTACCCAAAAAATATAACATGCATGTGAGAGGGACCAGCATATGGGGAAGGACCTATAAGTAATGAATGAATAGTTGGGGACATTGAGAACAAATTAAGGTTTCTACCTTTACATGATGCAACGAGAGATTATGAATTACCAATGGCACGTAACAAGCAACACCAATCTGGTGAGTGAGTTTTTTTAATATTAATAATGCAAATACTCCGTACATGGACGGATACAAGATTTTATATTAAGGGACGAGATTATAAAAAAAAAATTGTTGCCCTCCAGTTCCAAGGCTTCGTTCTGACTAATTTGGATCGACCCGAGTCGCACACCTAGCTCTGGTGAGTGAGTTTCCTAACCGGGATTTTCTGCATACACAATGACTCGAACCTGAGACATTTGTTTAAGCGATATTAAACTGCTTACCACTTGAATCAATCTCGTTAGTAGACATAAAATTTTGAAGGAAATACAAACTTTTAAAATTTTAAGAGACAAAACATATTTTTAATAAAACTGCATAAAATATATAAAAATTTAAAACTCATTTAAAGAAAGTGTATTTAGCTGCAATGGGGTTAAGATCAAAAGCCCATGGTTATGTGTTCAAACTCATTTAACTTCATTACGAGAAATGATCACGTGCAGCAGTCTTAATATACAGTTAAAAAATGCGTTATTGGTTTTGTTATTATTTAAATAATAAAACCGATAAAAAATTAACGAAAACATTATTATTTCTGTCGGTTTTATTATTATTGGGCGTTTTATCGGTTTTGTTATTTTTTCTACCGGTTTTGTTGTTGTTGGGCACTTTACTGGAAATGTAAAAAACATTGATATTTTAGTTAAAAAATTATAATATTTTAAGTAATTTTTTATTAATTTTTTTATTTAAATAATAATAAAACCGATAATATATTTTTTAATTGTATATTAAGGGTGTCTAATGTGCTGAGGAACTTCCCCTCTTTGCGGGTTTCTTCCAACTTAAAAAGCTTAGTCAAAATCTCCACTTTCCGACATTCATTGCATGCTTCATATAAGAATTCATGATTGTTTTTATAATTTTGATTTTTATATTTAAATTTTAATACAATACAATTTAATTTAAATATAGTTCGATTATCAGTGCTATAATCCTATAGTATATTAATGTTGATTGTATTTAATTATTAAGATGGTATATTGTATCCATAACATAATATATATATATATATATATATATAGTATAACCACCAGTATCTGATCTGTTGATCGATTAATCCGAATTAGGTACTGCAGAGGAAGAGCAACCCTCCCAACCCAGTTTACTCTATTCGTAATCGCCAAGATTCGAACCTCTAACATTACTTAAGGGATTTAATACTTTATTCACTAAACCATCTGTCGTTGGTATATATATATTATAATTGTGAGGCAAATATGAGCATAATAATAAAATTAATCTTTACTATTTGGTCAAATAGTCATTTTTATCCTATATTTTTTAGAGCATTTTAATCATTAATGTTTTAAATTTTGGTCAAAATAGTCATGTTGAATGTAAATCATTAGTTGATTACTGATCAACACGTATTAATGACATGATGTTTTTACACTTGTTTAATTGATGGCTTGACATGTATTATGCCACTCAAAGTGATGATGTGGCATGTGACACATCACTAATTAAACATATGTAAAAATATCACATCAGCGATCTGTGTTGATCATTCGTTAACTAATAATTTTCATCTAAAAATTTATTTTGACTAAAACGTTAGAGACTAAAATAATCTAAAAATAAATTTATAGAAATATTGGACTAATTTTATTATTACAATCCAATATTAGAGCTGAATAACCAAACATTCAACTTTCTTGTTTTATTCCCTTTGTTCGAATTAAAAAGATAGGAAAAGAAATAAAGCATGGTGTCTGGATATTCATACACATAGCCCCATCAATTAGTTTGCAAATTGGTATTAGCATATATAACTAGGGATGGGCATGGAACCCGAATCCGATGGGTTCTGACCCGACCCGATTCGATCAGGTTAGATTTTTTTAAAAAAAATTGGTTCGGATTTGGGTGGATTTTTTTAAGTGTGATATTCGGGTTGGGTCGGGTTCGGGTTTAGGGTGAAAAATACCCGACCTGAAAAATATATAATTTTACTTTATATATTTAGAAATAATTACATTAATACCCTCTATATATAATTTTTTTCAATTAAATCACTGTTTTTATTGAATAAAAATATTTTTTTTATTATTTCGGGTCGGGTCAGTTTCTAAGTTATATATCGGGTCGGGGTCGGGTGAAATCTTATTTTGGTCGAGTCGGTTCGGGTCTCGGGTGGATGCTCCCTTGTTCTCGGGTCGGGTCGGGTGGACCAAAAACCCGACCCATGCCCATCCCTATATATAATTAAGGGTAAACTTTACAAATGATCACTAATATTTGAGTAAATTTTTATTTATTATACTAAAGTTTTAAAAGTAATAGATAAGTCACTGACATTATCAATTTATAACAAAATAGTCATTCCACTGTCATTCCCTTTAAATTAATGATGTGATAATTATCAAAAAAATTAATATTTAGTTTGACCCCTAAATTATCGCTAAAATATCAAATAAGTCTTTGAACAATAATTTTATATTTAATTTACTCCAAAAACTTATTAATTTCCATTCGGGTCTATTGCTTAAAAGGCAATTATCCTAACCATTTGACTACAAACGCTGCTTGATGTCTTATTCATTGGATAAGAAAATGATTATGGAAATAACAAAATCAGTTTTTGAAAATATATCCAGAGCTATGTTTTTTTTATTATTTTGAAGTCAATAATCAATTTATTCATCTTATACGAAAAATATTCAATCAAACGCAATGTTAATATTGTTTGTATAATTATTTTAGGTGTATTAAATAATAATTTATTTAAATATAAAAATAAAGTATGCAAACTACGTATTTAGTATTTAAACTATCAGTTTTGATCCGTTTTAGTACTTAAACTTTCAATTTTTTTAAAACCATGCTTAACGTTTAATTTTTGTTTCATTTTAGTACATTGTCGTTAAGAACTTAACGTGTTTGTACCTAAACTATGCGTTTTTGTCTATTTTAGTACCTAAACTTTTAATTTTTTTCTTCAAAACGTAACATTAAATTTTGAACGGCGGTATTAAAATAAAACAACAACTAGACTTTAGGCATGGTTTTGAAAACATTGAAAGTTTAGGTATTAAAATATACCAAACCTAATTGTTTAGGTACTAAAAATGTAATTTACCCTATAAAGTATAACTGTATCCAACGCATCATAATATAAATCCGATTGACAAAGAAGACGATTTTAAATGAATGCTCCAAACATTTCTCTCCCGACAAAACAACCAGCGTCTGTCTAGCTCTACACTGCATGGGCGCATGGCGCATGCATGCACGCATGCACACCTTTCGCCGTCGAATTAAAAATGTTTTCCGAAAAAGGCGGCTGATGCGTCGTATTCCAGTTGTCACCGCCGCGTTAGCAAAAAATCAAAATTAAACCATAAAAGCACTTACTAACGAACGCGAGTGGTCTCAGTGAATAAAGGATTTATATACTATGAATCCACCGTCGTCCGTGACTCTCTCAATAATATTATCTCCAAAATTAGAAAATAATCATACGCAATGACAGATCCGGAAATAATTTTAAGGGTGGACACACATATATTAATAACAAAAAGTTTTCATATGGAGTGAGCAAAAATTAAATTTCATGACGGACACGTTCAATAAAATGAACAACTATCATAAACAAATTTGAATTCCCTGGGTTCTACGTACATCCGCCACCGATCATACACACGTTTCGAAAATAATGAAGAATGGTTAGCAATTACCATAGTCGGTTTGCGGCGAAGATGGAGCCAAGGTGCAAACAATAGCGAAAACCCCCCAGACACTACAAAAAAAATTTAAATTACCGATGGAAAATTTTTGACGGATTTAAAATCTATCATAATTTACCGACGAAAATAAATGATTCCGTACAAAATTATGACAATATTTTAATTTTCGACCGAATTACTTTTTCTGTCAGAAAGTCTATTCATTTCAATAAAAAAATATCAATTTAATTTATGACGGAATAATGATTTCGTCGGAAATTTTTTAACTTTAATTAAATTATACTAATTTAATTTATAATAGAATAATTATTCCGTTAGAATAAAAAATATCAATTTAATTATGACGGTAATGTGATTAATAAAACTAGGTTACAGCCTTTCAAACATATTAAAATATCATGAAATTTCAATTTCCAACTATTCGAAAATCTAAAATAAATGGGCCTTTAAAAGATTTTACTCAAGTCCAACAATCCCGGCCTATCAGCCTATTTTTAATTAGGATGAGCGTTATTCAAGTTGACGAGCTTATTTTATAAGAAATTTTTTGAGTCGAGTCAAGTCGAATTTTTGAGCTTCTGTTAAATTTAAATGTAAATATTTATAGTATTAAAAAGTATTTGATTATAATTTATTAATTTTTTATACTATATAATAATATATATTTCTTTAATTTTTTTCATATGTGATATACATATATCATACAAAGTCAAGGGGATCGACTTAAATTTGAAAATTAATCCACTAATTATTATATGTATAATTATAACTCAAATATAATTTGAGTTAAGTCGAAAAAATATAATTTTCACTTTTAACTTTTAAAATATTTCCACTTTTAAATTGGTATTTCCCCAATTTCAAGATTTTACCCTTATTAATCTGGATCGATTTAGGTTATACACTTTACTTTGGCATATGAGTCTTTCGGTTGGGATTTTCTGCATATATAAGAACTCAACTCTGAGACCTATAAGTATAATATATATTATATAAAGTTATTAAATATTAAATATTGAATTTAAATTTAAATTTAAAATTTCTTTTAATTAAAATATATATTAGATTTGGATATTTGAATATATATTTTTTCATATAAGATATGAATTACGATTTTAGTGATATGAATTTCGAATAAAATAATATAAGATTAAAAAACGAACACTCTTATATAGTATCACATAAGTTGTTGGATAAACTACGTGTTTAATATCTAAATTTATCAATTTTGATTCATTTTAATATTTAGTCTTGGGTGAGAGTACAAATCCATTAGAGATATATTTTCAATTTATTTATTTTTGATTAAACTAATGTTATTACAAAGTAGTATTTATTCTAAACACTTTCAATTACTTGATAATGAACGTTCAATCACCATGTTACAATCACTGGTATTCGAGCCCGATACCTCTAAAAACAACAAACGATTATTTGTAACCACTATAGTTAGTTAATTCGTACTATTTTCAATTTATTTAATATAAAAGTAACCATTTTCACTCAAACACTGCCACGTGTACTTTAAGACAAGGTTTCATGCATGAGGACACGTACACGCCCGGCCACGTCCCCTTCTCTCTCTTACCCTTCGACCACTTCCCCAAACCTCATTTTAATCCATCACCAACAAGAATAACCGGGAACAGATTACACTAAAAGCAAAAAATTGAAGGATTTTGATTTACAAATCATGGTGAAACTTGCCTCGGCAAGAGAGAGTCGAATGTACGGTCCGCGGCTGAGTCGGAGCAGGGCGGAGTACATGAATGCGGGCCTGTATTTGTTCTCAACAATCGTTTTGATTTGCGGTTTCGCAGCCGAGTTTTCGTGGGAGCCCAGATCGGGTCTGGTTCTGATGCTCATAGCGTTGGGTCTTATAATCTTGGTCAACATTCACGATCTCTTGGCACATCTCGCCGGCATCGATTACCGGTTCGCGTTAATGGGCTTTGATCCGCAGCTGGCTCTCGTCGAGTTCTCCGTCCCGCTGGTTCAAATCTTGGGTTCACTTCTTTTCTTTTTGGGAATCCTCTTCCTCTTTTTTCAGGTATAATTTGTTCAAAGGCCCTGGATCATTTAGCGATTGACGATTATAATCTTATGTACATAGTTCACGAAGCTGACACCTCAAAACATAACAATAAATCCGTTAACCACTTAAGATTTAATATGTGGGTTCGATTGTGTTTTTTATTGCGTTGTTTTATCACGATTGTAGATATATAAACATAGATTTAGATAGTGGTTCGTTATAGTAATAGCGCATGTTATATAACGGTAGTAGTATCATAATATTGTTATTGTATAACCGCGACACCACAATCACAGTAATAACGCATGTTATGTCCGTAATCTATTAAACACAAATAAAAATGCAACCGGAATTGTAATTTAATTCTCTAATACTGAATGTTATTGCCGTCATTAGATATCACGATCATACAATAACGGTTTTATCCTTATTAGAAAAGGGGACCGTTGTTTTGATTGCGTTTGTTTTTGTTGTAGGCGGAGAAAGGGTATGGGTTTTTTAAGGTGGAGAAGCATGCTCTGGGAATGCTTATCGCCGGTCCGGTTTTATGGGTTGTCGGGTCGGTTCATAACTCGTGTCAGATCTACGAGCGGGCCGATGCACATGTTCAAATCTTGCAACAGTGTGTCCATATCCCCTTTTTGATTGGGAGTGTGTTGTTCATGGTGGGAGCTATTCTCAATGGCCATGAACAAGCTGGAGTTGTTCATCATGGGTTACAATTACTGGTAAGCCCAAATACGCATATGAAAACCACAGTAGTAAATTCGGGTTGTTCTGTTTGCGTCGGGTTTTGACCTAAAATGTTATCATATGTAATTTCGTTTACATTAAAAATGTTACGTTACGACTAGTTTTAACTTAAAATGTTACATGGACTTTAAAAAATTACACAATTGATGATGGTTTATATATGCAGGGCAAAAAATGGGTATGGTTAGGGATATGTGGTAGCCTGATGTTTATGATAGGGGGATTAACGAACGTGGTGAAGGTTTTCAAGATGCAGCAGATGAACGGCATTAGGCTCGAGAAACTGCGCGGCGGAGCACAAGATAGATTGATCGAAGACGGGGACGGAGACGGACAGGTCCCTCTCATCATCGACGAGCAGCGGAGGAAAATGGAAGTCGACGAGATTAAAGCCACCGCGGCGGCGGCGGCGGTAGCAGGGAAGAAGAGTCCCACACCTTACAAGGATGTGCTGCTCGCTCGGACTTGAATTTGAATTTAAATGGGTACTATAATTTGTTTTTGGTCCACTTTAATTCATTCAGATATAGTGTTAAGCTCTTTAAGTATTTGTTAAATAAATATTCTTAATCTCATGTTTGCAAAATCTGGTCTCTCTTTGCTGTCTCTCATTCAGTTAATATTTCGAGAATTTCAGTGATTAAGAGAATGATAAAAAAAAATTATTTTAATAACGTGAGTGATTAAGAGAAGTATTATTTTATGTTAAGAACGTCAATTTGAATAATCGTGATTAATTGTGACGGTAGAATGTATATATATAATATATACATTGTTAATGAATAATTATTATTTTATAATTATTTTAAATTATTAAAAAATTCAATGTCTTCAAAGCTGAAGACAGCATTCTATATATTTTTACCCCAAAAAGGCTGATTATATTTAGGAAATTTTGTAATGCGGACGATTATTTTTTAACACTATTAATTTAATTTATAAAAATTTAAAATTTTAAAAAAATAATTAATAATTTAATTTATAAAATTTTAAAAAAAATTTAACTTATAATTATAAATTAGTTAAAAATTTAAAGATAAATTATTAAAATAAAATATTAATTATATTATTTTCATAATTTTTTAATAATAATTTAAAAATAAATTAATATATTATTTAAATTATAATTTTTTTATTTGATAGCTTAATAATAACAATAATAATAATATAAAAATATATAATTATTCAAAAAAAAAACTTTAAAACTTATACTACTAGTAATGTGACTAAACTAATTTTTAACACAAAAATATCAAATTTTCCTTTAAATCTTATATTAGATTGAGGACGGCTCTTCCTACTCTCTAGTTAAAAAAGGTTTAATTATAAATTAAGTGTTTAAACTATGTTATTTTTCTCAAATAGATATCCAATTTTTTGAACTAGTCAGATATCTAACGTTACAAACATTACCATTTTAGGTGCTTGAGATGTAACAATCATTAAAAAAATTTATGTTAAGTGAAACATGCCATATTTAAAACAAAAAACTTAAAAATATAATTATATTTTAAAAGATTCAAAACTTTTGAAAATCTTAAAAACATCCCAAGCTTTGAAAACCTTTATTCTAATCCTTATACCCATGTCGACCATCCCTGTTTGTCATTGTTCACTGTCGTTTTCGTCGACGGACCTCCACCGATCAACTAACATCGATGATACACCACCCGAAGAATCCTTAATCGACGATTTAAACTTGACAAAAATAATACTAAAATCGCAAAATTGAAGCTACCCAACGAATCTGATGGCAACCACGATGATATAGGCAAGGACGGCTACAATGGAGTCATCATATAATGACAGTGATGTCGATGGCCGTGACCAAAAAGAATTCATAATATGTAAGTGTGCAAAACCACATAATTCATAATATGTTTATGAATGACTGTATCAATACTAAGTGTACAAAACCACGAAATTCATAATGCGTTTATGAACGACCGTATCGACACTACGTGTGCATCTAAAAGAAATCATAATATTGGAAAACAATAAATTCGTATTTGATAGATATGATATTTGATGTATTGATTTCACATCATTGTGTTCTTGCCTCACTGAGTAAATATTTAAAGCGTGCTTATTTCACGCGTAGGTGTTAGCAACCAGAGTAAGGAGTGCATCGATATCGCAGATCAAGAGTCGCCTCATCAGTAACATACGATAGTTATATCTATTTTTGATATTATTAATTGGCATGTAATGGAATTATGATAACGCTATGAACAATATTTAACTTATACTAATGTTTAATGAACATTTTATTATTATTAAATTAAAATATTTTATGAATAAAAATAAAAATTTTACTGGTTTTCAAAAGAAAAAAATGCTTTAAAAGTTATGTGACATCTAATCTCGTGTATGAAAGTATATACGCTTTCATATACGGGAAATGAGTGTTACATTCCTTAATACATGTCATAACGTTCCTACAATCACCTTCAAGAATCAACCTTCCCTTATCGCTCCAATCTCCCAGAGAAAAAAGATTGAGGCCAGCTCTAACAGCCTTTAATTCAGCCATAGCCAGGGGACCGGGACCAATGGATTCCGAGAAGAAGCTAAGATTCGGCCGCTAGAATCCCTTAAAAGGCCTCAATTCCTCCCTTGCTCCAATCCCCATTCACAGCACCATCCATGTTTAACTTCAGGAAACCATCAGGAGGTGGAGACCATGACAAAGAGACTGAAGAGACGGACGACCCTTGCTGGAAACTGAACTGGAATCTGCCAGGGACGGATCACCAATCAAAACATTGAGAGGTGTCAAAGACTTGAAATACTTGGCTGAGTACCATGAAGCTAAATTGAACCTTGCAAGAAAAAAATAGGAGGGACATATCCACAGCTCCATTTTCAAAGACTATCGAATTTCTTAGTTTCCAAATTGACCACACAACTACTCCTGGAATGATGATTGAATAATAATGAATGAGATTTTTTTTACTTTGAATTTGAGAGAGTTGTATACAGTGTTTAAAAAGGTGCAATTGAGGCATGCAATTGAGAGAGTTGTATACAGTGAAATACAGATAAAGATGGGGTGCTTTACCTTGTATAATTACTGTTTGTCTTGAAGTTTGAAAGAAAGAGAAATAAAGGGGGATGAATAGAGCCCAATTTTGGTGTTAAAAAATACAGCTGACTGGGTAGACAAAATGAGAGAGGCATGCATGCAAGAATTGAGAATTGGGGGAGGAAAATATAGGTTACAGTGAGTTTTGTTGCATAGTGATGGGTTCTTGAGCAGCACGTTTAGCACATGGCAAAAAATTTGAATCCATGAAAAAAGAAGAAAAGTTTGGAAACACAATTTAGAAATACAAAAATGGAGGAATAGGGTGGATTTGGAGAAGTGGGGTTTAGGGTGTAGGTGGCGTTAACAAGGAGAAGACACGTTTGTTGAGAGCTGCGAGGTGGAGGGACAAGAAGGAGACAAGTAAGAAGTTGATGCCAACTCATTATTGACTTTTATTTATTGTTTCAGTTTCTTATATGGAATAATGGACCAAGGAAAGAAAGGGGGGTCTGCTTGGGTTCTCAAGGTTCAATGGTGGATGGAACAAAAGTGATGTTTAATACATAAATTGCTGATAATGAATACTCTTTAGTGTGCATGAACTGTTCTTTTTGTTTGATTATACAACTGGAAAAAACTTGTATATCTTTTATTTTCAAAACGTGTGCCCCACTTCATTAAGGCGGGTGCCTTGTGCCTTGGCTATAAAACCCCTATCGCCTTAGTGCGCCTTGCGCCCTTCTTAACACCGGTTGTATATTACATGTAAACTTCATAGAAAGCAAAGTTTGAGCAGCCTGGAGAGTAGGTTTGTTTTGATGTTAAGATATGAGGTTTCTTAGCATTACTTGGCCGGTTCATCCATCCATTATTCATTCCATCTCTTGTGGCATTCTAGTGCCCTTGGGCCTTGTGTATTCATAGATTTTACTTGGGCTAATACTGTTAACCTCCTTGTAGTATTCTAGCTTCTGTCTCTTTGCTGAAGAACTGGACATGTTGCACTTATCTCATTTGCTATTTTCTAGAAAATATGTTTGAGATGGTATTACAGTCTGTAATTACATTTTGAAGTTCTTTTACCTGAATTTTTTTTAGTTCATCTTCTTAATGTTGTCAATAATTCAGGTATTTTCAGCTTTTGGTTTTGTGCATAAAATAACCACCTTTGAGAAGACAGCTGGATTCCAGGTCAATGAATTAAATCTCTTCTTTTAGTTCTGGTTAGTGTGCCTTGGCCTTTTAAAATAAGCTCATTTGGTACCCTGTCATGTTTGCAGGCATTGGTGCAATTTTCAGACACAGAAACGGCGACATCTGCAAAAGATGCCTTGGATGGACGAAGCATCCCTAGGTGACAGTTCTATTAATTTTTAGCCATGGTATTTAGTCCAACTATTGTAGACCATATAGCTGTAGACGTGGTGCCCTTGCATTGAGCACTTACGTCTACTGGACCCTTTGCACTTCTGACTACTATTTCTGTTTAGTCTTGCAACAGCCTACTTGTTTGCATTGTTTTAGTCCTTGATAAAGTATTAGAGAACTCCCTAAGTTGGAACTGAAATGTGATCCAGTAACATTAGTTTACTCCACAAGCAATGCTTTTAATCTTACAGCTTCTGTTATTCTTTTGTGAATTGTGACTACTGGTTTTGCTGCCAAATATCTACCGACTGACTTTGTCCTGGGTTTTCAGGTATCTGCTTTCTGAAAATATTGCTCGTGGAGTATTCGGATAATCTGTATGTTCATTAGTGTTGCTCGGTTCAGGTGTGAGTGTCTGAGATGGATATGTTCATTTCTTTGATGTCGTATTCGGATAACCTATATCCTGCTATTTGTCAGAATTTGAAGAGTTTAAGCTCTGCTGAAGAAGAGCATTTCTGTTTCTTACAGGGTGATTTATTCATTACAGGCCAACAACGATAGGAGCAGAGATTATACAGTCCCTAACCCTGTCATGGCTAACCCACAACCTTCGGGATTAAGCAACAGCCGGTTCAAACAATGGGTCCAGCTGCTCATCAATACAATGGGACTCGATAGGCCAACCTATGATGCCTCCTCAACCTTCAGCTGGATGGGCCTCCGGTGTTCCAGGAGTGCCTCAATCTACACCAGTACAGATGACTAATCATCCTTACATGCCACCGGCCTCGATGCCTCAAATGACCCCCGGAAACGATGCAAATGCCGGGCGGCTACGGTGGCATACCGCCACCCGGGTCAGTGCCTCCTTATTGACTCAGTCAGATGTAATATCAACTTATCTACCAGATAATATATGAAAACCGAGTTAGCCGCACTTGTTGCTTCCCACCCCATTTCTTGGAGAGGAGGGAGAGGCAGATTTTGAATGTTTAACTAAACAGATTGTGCATGGAAGATATATATATATATATATATATATATATATATATATATTACAGTTCTTGAGGATATTAAAGTTTTGTTGAATCAGTCAGGTTTGGCTTTTCAAATCATTATTTTACTATTGATTGCTCGATTTTTATGTTAAAAAATATGAATCTTCACAGTTCATTTGAAGGAAAAAATTGTTTAAATTGATTGAAGATTTGATATTAGATTTTAGGCAAAACTTTCGAGATAATGTTCTGGAAAAAATTAATTCATGAGATAAAGCACTCCCAAGATTAATTGCTCAAATAAGGTGAAATCCACAGTGTTGGCCGTAGGTCGCTATGCCTTCCGGGCGACCTACTAGGTCGCTATGTCTTCCCGGCGAGCTACAAGAGATTGCATGTGCCATGCACGTCCCAACACGCTGGGCATCCGAGGCCATCCGACTGAGGCCATCCGAACGAGCTATGCGAGGGCAACCGAGGGCAACCGAGTGAGGGTAGGTCGCCCGGAGGGCATGGCGACCTATGTGTTAGGACGTGCATGTGCCATGCAACACGTTCATTCTCTCTGTTTGAGCAAGGGTAGGTCGCCCGGAGTGCATGGCGACCTACAAGGTCGCCTGGAGTGCATGACGACCTACGGCCAACACTGTGGATTACATGACGACCTACGGCCAACACTGTGGATTTCACCCTATTTGAGCAATTAATCTTGGGAGTGCATTAGCTCGTGAATTAATTTCTTTCGGAACATTATCTCGAAAGTTTTGCCCATATTTTATGTTGAACTATGATTGAATCGGCATTATTAAAAAATTTGGGTAAACTACGCATTTAGTACTAAACTTTTAGTTTTGATCCGTTATAATACTTAAACTTTCAATTTTTTTCTTCGAAATCATACCTAATGTTTAATTTTTGTTTTATTTTAATACCCCACTGTTAAAAATTTAACGCGTCCATTGCCTAAATTTATCAATTTTGGTCTGTTTTAGTATTTAAACTTTTAGTTTTTTTTTAAATTTCATTTTAACTTTTTAACATGATACTAAAATGAAGCAAAAATTAAACTTTAGGTATGATTTTTAAAAAAATAAAAGTTTTGGTATTATACTATATCAAAATTGATAGTTTATGTATTGAACGAAAAAATTTACCCTAAATTTTAGGACAATTACATTATTATTTATCAAACTTTTAAAATTTACATCGAAGATGCTAAACTTTAAAAAAAGTTTATTTCTATCATTAATATGATCGATACATTATTTATCATTTTATCGAACATATGTTATCACCTTATTAGTTATCTAAAAATAAATCAAAAACTTAATATCTAAAAGAAAGTCTATTGTTTAACCACTCATTAAATTAAATAATTATTAATAATAAAAATAATATTTTATGTTAAATTGCGAATTAACTTTGGATTACAGGATTGTTATGGTTATGTTGTCATTAAAATTAATTATATTTATTTTAGAAATATATTAATTATAATATAATTTTATTTGTACTATTAATTAAAATATATTAATTTGATAAAAAATATTTATAATTTATATTATAATTAATGTATATAATATATTATCACTTTTCCAATGGATTTAATTTTTAAATTATATTTATTTTAATTTTAATTTTTTTGCTTAATTTAGAATAAAATGGCTGAAAATTAAATAAAAAATTAAGCTTCACTCAATACAAACAAATATAGTTCTATTAATATCAACCAATAATAAACTAAATAATTTGACTTTTTCTTTTTAAAAAAATGGATTGATGTCTGAAATATTAACTCTTCAATCATTACTTGAAATTGAATTCTGGAATAAAAACAAGTAATAAATGTTTCAAATTTTTTTTACCGATTACATATTTGAGTTTTCTGTAGGATTATTAAAATCTTAAACAAAAATTATAGTAAAAAATCAATCACAGAAGAAGCCGGCGCCATGTTGAATGGAGGATAAGGTTTGAGTTCGGGTTGCATGTTCTTTGTGTCCTCTTTCTTCTCTCTAATCTGGTGCTGTTGGGAGGCTCTTAAATTCATTCCCCTTTGCTTTGAACAAAGAATTAAGCGATGATCCTCTCTCTTCAACCTTCTCTTCTCTGCAATCACCCTTCTCCTTCGTTTCCCCTTCTTAACCCACGCTTTCACCGTTTATGGTGTCCCCTTTCTCTCAATCCCAAACCCTTTTCCCCTCCATCGGTTTCCCTCTTTTCCCGATTACACCCATTCCCTTTCTCAACCCCTTCTTCCTCGTTCCACCCCGACAATGTTGCCCCCGATTCCGATTTTGAAGATTCCCGACTTTTGGTTCCGGGTTCCGATGACCGTTCTGTTGTTCCCGACGGATTTGAGAATGTGAGCGAGGGAATTGAAGTGAAGAGCATCGATGGGAGGTCTGAGACTGCGGTGGAGGACAATGGGCAGCGTGATGAATTGGTGGGAAATGAAGGGTCCAAGAGCAATACTCCCGCCGTGGTGTTTTTGATGGGGGTTTGGGCTATGATAAAATCCGGATGGGACAAATTCTTGGCTTTGGGTTGGTTCAGTTGGTGGTCGTTTTGGCTTCAGGAGAAGCGGCTTGACCGTTTGATTGCCGAGGCTGATGCCAATCCCAAAGATGCCTCTAAACAAAGCGCTTTGCTTGCTGAGCTTAATAAGCGCAGGTTCTTCTTTCATTCTCCTACTGTTTGATTAATTTTTACACGTTTTCTTTTTTCTTTTACTACCCCTCTGATTTTTATTGATTTATTTGAAGCAGTCCTGAGTCTGTGATTAAGCGATTTGAGCAAAGGGATCATGCGGTAGACAGCAGAGGCGTTGCTGAATATCTTCGAGCGCTGGTAGTCACTAATGCTATTGCTGAATATCTTCCGGATGAACAAGCTGGGAAGCCTTCTAGTCTTCCAACTTTGGTAACAAGGCCCTACTCCGTGGCTTTGGGTTTTTTTGTCATTGCATTTGATTTCGCTTGTCAATTACTTTAAAGTTTTCAACCTTATTTCTTTGGCATTTGACTTCTGCTTGGACGTATGAATTGGTGGGAAGTAGATATATTAATCTATGCTTCAATCTCACCAAAAAAGACTTAGAATATCTGAGATATTAATATTTGAAATGCAGTTGCAAGAATTAAAGCAGCGTGCATCCGGGAATGTGGATGAGCCCTTTTTAATCCCCGGAATTTCTCAGAAGCAACCGTTGCATGTAGTGATGGTAAGTCTTCAGAGTTTACTGTTCTGTGTTGGAGACAGTATGGTTTACATTTTGGCTTAGTCTATGCGAGGACTATAATAGCATGTCCAGAGCTTGGATTATTCTTCTCTCCCCCTTAGAACCCTTTGTCAAGTATCTTGATTGTGATGCTTTTTTATTTTTTAGGTTGATCCTAAAGCTTCAAACAAATCACGATTTGCCCAAGAGCTTATTTCGACTTTCTTGTTCACTATTGCTGTTGGATTGGTTTGGTATGGATTCCGTGATTGTAGTTGTACTTCCTCTCTTTCTATTCTTTTAACTTCGTTTTGTCAATTTTGTTAACATGAACAAGCTGCTTTCAGGTTCATGGGTGCTGCTGCACTTCAGAAGTATGTAGGAGGCTTGGGTGGAATAGGAACTTCAGGTGTTGGATCAAGTTCCACTTATGCTCCCAAAGATTCGAACAAAGAAGTGATGCCTGAGAAGGCAAGTATTCAATTCTTCCGCTTGCTGTCTAAGTCGAGTAGACTATGACAATTAGTTGCATTTGAAAGATGTATTTCTTTTTTTTTTTTTGGGAAAAAAATGTTTTCTTTTTGAAAGCTGCATTGCTTGATTATTTTTTTTTTTTGAAAGCTGCATTTCTGTTTTCAATATGGACGGATGAAGTGGATTAAGTAGATTATATTGAACCATTTGAGTAAGAAATGCAAACTTTGAGCAATGCCTGAATAATCGAAGAGCATTCATGTCTAAAGGAAAATTGTTATAGTTTGGTATGCTTACTAGATAAAAAATGATGTTCGAAAGCCTGTTCTGCTGACCATGCAAATGAAATCCAGCTTTACTTTTGCTATGGACAGGCCCAGCGCCATTTATTTGAAATTCAGTAGATAATCCTCAAACTCGTCTTCTTTTCCTCAGCAATTATATTTTTACAGAATGTCAAAACATTTAAGGATGTCAAAGGCTGTGATGATGCGAAACAAGAGCTTGAGGAAGTAGTGGAGTACCTTAAAAACCCATCAAAGTTTACCCGCCTTGGGGGGAAGTTGCCAAAGGTTTGTAAAGATAATATGCTGTCTCATTCTATCTGCATCCATTTGTTGCACTTGCTTGTAGATATCTGTATTTCAGATTTTATCAAGGGAATCATATAAAATAGGAATAAAATAGAAAAAAAATATAAGTGATATATATGCCAGGAGAACCAAATATATCTAGAAATTGACTGAATTACTGTTAGCTTAGTCTTAGCTCGGGTGATAGGTGGCGAAGGGATTGGGTAGAGATTCTAGGTTCTGCAGCTTGGTCCACAACGAATGATTGTGCATTTATGTGAACCATTAGGGCTGAAATTTGTTTCCCTTGAGCCAAAGGCTTTTTTGCTTTAATCTTAAGTCTGTATTATCTGTTTCACAACTAAATTGCAGGGAATCCTTTTGACTGGAGCACCTGGAACTGGGAAAACTTTGCTGGCCAAGGTAAGGTTTCATTTTATATCCTCACTTATGGTCACGTATGTCAGGAACTTTTTGCTCAGTACATCTCAATTTAACTGCAGTAAAAAGCTCATTTTGCTGCTAGTGGTTCCAAAATATCCTTTAAGCATGTTGCATATGCTTATGTACACATTACACTGAAATTTGGTTTGTGTAACCTTGAAGGCTATTGCTGGGGAAGCTGGTGTACCTTTCTTCTATAGAGCTGGATCTGAATTTGAGGAAATGTAAGCGCCCTCTCATTTCATCTTTGCTTGGCCACCCTCTTCTATAGATTTCCGTGTGCTTATTTGATACTATATGGTTGGTTCTGAGGATTATGTGGCGTTGTAGATTTCTTGTTTGACATTCTCTGTCTCTATGGTAGGTTTGTTGGTGTTGGTGCTCGGCGTGTGAGATCTCTTTTTCAAGCAGCTAAGAAAAAGGTTGATGTTCATTGTTACTGGGTTGTGGATATTATTTTGATTGCTTGATCCATTGTCTGTCATACCTTCTAATCATGCCATTCAACAAATGTTTCATATTTTATAGGCCCCTTGCATCATTTTCATTGATGAAATAGATGCTGTTGGATCTACACGAAAACAATGGGAAGGCCATACCAAAAAAACACTGCATCAGCTGCTTGTCGAAATGGATGGTTTTGAACAGAATGAGGTATATCGAAACAAGTTTGTTGTATCAATAATTCCTTTTTACTTTTGAATTTGCTTAACCTCTATCTTTCTTGCAGGGAATAATTTTGATGGGTGCAACAAATCTACCCGACATTCTTGATCCAGCTTTGACTAGACCTGGTAGATTTGATAGGCATGTAAGTGCTCCAATTATTATTGTTTTGTTTAGTCTTGGGTGTTTGGAAATATATGGTCAAAGTTGACAGAAAGAGTTGGTTCCTTACGGTTTAATCACAGTACCAGAACACACACACACGTCCTTTTCCCGGCCTGCTGAAGGTTTTGGCTCATTATCATCAGTTGTGCTTCATTGTGGTTGCTTAAATCACTTAAGTAAGCAAAATTTGCACGGAATTGCTATGTAATTTTGACCGTGGACTATTATTAGTCTTCAAGATATTTGCTTTTTGCATGTTCTGTTAGCTTTAGATAGAAGACTCATACAGCCCGTCTTTTAGATTGTAGTCCCTAATCCAGATGTAAGAGGTCGTCAAGAGATTTTGGAGCTCTACCTACAGGATAAACCTTTGTCTGATGACATAGATGTCAAATCAATTGCTCGTGGTACTCCTGGACTCAATGGAGCAGGTGCTAACCTTTTCTGCATAAACAGAAATGTTTCCTGTGAATAAATTTTGACAATTTCTTTTCAACCTTTTCCTATTCCCTTGTCAATCAGATCTAGCAAACTTAGTGAATATTGCTGCGATAAAAGGTGCAGTTGAAGGTGCAAATAAACTGACTGCTGCACAGTTGGAGCATGCTAAAGATAGGATACTCATGGGTACTGAACGTAAAACAATGTTTCTATCGGAAGAGTCAAAGAAGGTATTGACATTTTCTTAATATTGCTTTGTGCAGGGGAGAAGGTAGGAATTGTGTTTAGAGGGTCCAAAATTGAATTATTAGTTTTTTTTGGGGGGCAATGTGCAAGTTTACCATTGTAGTAAATTATAATTTTACAATTTTCAAAGGGACTAAAGAGAAATCATACCATTTTAGAGGGGCCAAGGCCCCTGCCTGGCCCCCTGGCTTTGGTGTAGAATTGAGGTTGTGGTTGGTTTTATGAAGTGAATCATCAACTCTGTAATAAGTGCAAACAAAGATGTAAAAGGTAAGGGAGAGCATTCAGTTTTTTGGTCTTTTTTTATTGAACCGACCATAATCTATACTAAACGACCCGACCGAATTAGACAGCTTAAACCAACTGAACCAAACTGACTTAAAGTTGGTCAGTTAACCCACTTAGCTTTTTAATATAAATATATTTAAAATAATTAAATTATCAATTATATAATATATATAAATATATGAAAAAAAAATAATGTATGTGTTGGATAATTTGGTCGATTTGGTTTGGTTTTGTCGGTTTTTCCAGTTAGAACCAAGAATTGCTCTCCCCTAGTAAAAGTACCTGTAATGATAACAACAATTGAACAATGTCGGCAATTTGTCTTACCAAAGTTTATTTTTTGCTGTAACTAGGGCTCTATATTTTGTTCCTATCATGCACTGTCACTGTACAAGTTATTTCCTTTGGTTTTCAAGATAAATTTTTCGCTTACCAAACTGGATCATCCTTGTTTGCTGACATTGTTAACCATAACTTCAGCTCACTGCTTATCATGAGAGTGGCCATGCAATTGTTGCTTTCAATACTGAAGGTGCACTTCCGATCCACAAAGCTACAATCATGCCCCGCGGATCAGCTGTGGGAATGCTTACCCAGCTGCCATCAACTGATGAGACGTCAATCAGTAAGAAACAATTATTAGCTCGTCTTGATGTTTGTATGGGAGGAAGAGTTGCGGAAGAGCTCATCTTCGGTCAGGACCATATCACAACCGGTGCAAGTAGTGATCTGCTTTCAGCAACGGAGCTTGCTCAATATATGGTTAGTTTCAAAGTGTTTTTCTTAATCCTTCTCCATTTCTATATTTGTTTTTCGAGTTCTTTGTAAACCATAAAGCTAGGGCAATATCTTTTGGTTCTCACTTACAATGCCAGGTATCGAGTTGTGGGATGAGTGATGCAATTGGACCTGTTAATATTAAAGAGCGACCAAGTTCAGAAATGCAATCTCGCATCGATGCTGAAGTATGTTTCCGCAAGGTAGAGTTCGGATTAGCAAAGATGTGTTTACAGTCTTGATTTGCTTTAATTTTGTTATTGCAGGTTGTAAAGCTTCTAAGAGAAGCATATGATCGTGTGAAAGCCCTGTTAAAGAAGGTATGTATGTTCATGAACCCCCTTTTTCAGTAATATGGGCATCATGTGTATGTTTAATTTCTGGTGTAAAATGCACAACTGGTTGCTGAAATGATCTTTTAGTCATTAAAGTTTTGGAAGTTATAAAATGGTCATTAAACTTTTTCAGCAAGAGAAGGCATTGCACGAATTAGCAGATGCACTTTTGGAATACGAAACACTTGACGCAGAAGAAATAAAGCGCATTCTCCTCCCACACCGGGGACCATTTCCGGAACGACAAGAACAACAGGAAGAGGGGGAGCTAGTACTGGCTTAAAACTAGATATAACTCGGTATCCATACACCTCGATCAAACTCGACTGTGGGGGAAGCTCTGGACAGTGTATTTTAAGCAGGCAGAGGTAATTTATTATTTTACATAATTTCTTGCATTTCTTTCCCCCACACCATAATCATGAGATGTGCTATGGTAACTGTGGTTAAAGACACAGGAGGCACCCTGAAATGTACCATTTGTGAAATTATGTATTGTTTGATCTTTCGCACCCCGAATTTCGGGGCCAAATTTTGGACTCTGTAGGCATAAACCTTTTCTTTTGGGTACATTAAAGTTTAGGTCAGGGTGGCTCCTCAATCCAGAGCGAGGGCCAGAGTATACCTAAGATTCAATTGGACTGTGTAGTCATAAACTGACGTTTATGAAATGTTGTTATTTTTAAAATAATGAATTTTATCTTTCGTTTTTCACTTGTCTTCTACTTTCATTTTGTCTGTTGCTTTTGTTATGCCCTCTGCATCGAATGTACTGTTCCGGGAATGACATGCGTTGACCATAGGTGCAGCCCCACGGTAAGCAGTTCCGACACTGCACTCTCACGACATATCTCCGACCACCTACCGTACCCACCCTATCTAAGGATATTTTTATAAATTCTTATTTGATATCGGGTCGGATTTAAACTCTAACAATTTAGGCCGGGTCGAAGTCAGATGGAGAATATATATTTTTCGAGTCGGGTCGGGTGGATGATATAAAAATTTTTGGTGGGCTCAAGTTCGTGTGGAGGATAAATATTTTTGAGTCGGATAGAGTTGATCAAAAATCATATCCTAACTTGACCTGTTGTCATCCCTAGGAATAACTGATAATATGAATCCGACAATAAAATAGATAAACAATCGACGATAGCTGTCAACAAAGATTAATGACGGTAATAAGAGGTTTAAAACTAAAGATTTTGAGTTTTTTTTTTAGATTTTAGAGAATTTTGAAGTTTTTTAAACAAACATTTTACATTTTTATTGTGGCACTAGATCCTTTAAGCAAGATTAGGAATTCGAATCATAATGTTTGCAAATGGAATAAATTGAGTCGAGATAATCTGAATTAATCGATCAATATATAAGATACAAGTGATTAATTCAAAAAAAAATCATAAAAGCTTACATGTACTACATTTTGAGTGATTGACAGGTTTTTAACGGTCATGACGACCAAACTTCTAAAAATGATAACATCGAAAATAGACAACTACCTTAGTTAAAAAAAAACTTTAGGCACTTAAAATAAAAATTAAATATAATATTAATTCAACCTTTAATAGAAAATCAACTTGAATGAGTTACATGCTTCTTTGTCTATTTAGGTTCTTCACGTCTGAAAATCTCTCGTCAGTTCGAATATCAATAATGAAATTCTTGAATGATTATTGAAAAAAAAAACATTAATTCAGTTTCTGAAAGTTATCCAGGACAAAGTTCAGCAAGTCGTCGTCGTAATTTTGTTAGCTCAATCGATTAATCAAAAATCGTCAAGAGGGCTGAATTGGCTTTTCAGAATTTTGAACAAAAATTAAGAATTTTGGTACATCATCGTCTCTATGTCATGTAAAGCTTACTGCACTATGGGTGGCTCTGCCAACCGTTTCTTTTCTGGGGTTAATATCAGCAATGCAGTTAAACAAATAAACCTATTTCAAATTGACATAATCAAACCCAAACAAAATAGGTTCCGGAAATTCATCGAAACTCGATCTTTGCGAGATCCTAACAGAATCTGTAAGAGAATCAAGTTCAGAGGCTTACATTTCATTACCATAAATGAATTAGCTTTATGCCAACAAAACTGACCCATTGGAACCCAAGCACCCTAACACAACAGTAACAGACCTTAACACCAGGGCAATTATCACGAATACAGTTCAATAAGAGCAATTTCTATTAAATTTTAAATAGTCCGACCATGAGCTTTTAAATGAAGCTTTACTAGTGTCATCAAAATAGGACAAAAAATGGACTGCAAACGGATCCAACTGTGGCACGACAAAAAATTGCAATTCCTAAGTTTGGATCAACCTTTAAAATATGAAGAACTCACTAACCTGGTGTAGTTAGCAGTCTCCAAGTTCTATATTTTGGCATTTTTGGCCTTTTTGCCATCCTATGGTTCTCTTGGCAGGTACCATCGGTTAATAATCATCCTTAGCTTGTTTGCTACACACTACAAACTCTCTCTTTCTTGGGCTTTGCAACTCTTCTTCTGTTTACGACAAACCATCTTCCACAGGTGCTTTATCCGTTTCGTCAATCACCTGAGGTAGATCCAATGGGGTGGCTGCAGGGTCTAAATCACGACATCCCGTTGGTGCATTCTGAGCTTCTTGGCCAGTAAGCAAGTAATTAGGCACCTGATGGGAAAAGCGAAACATCTCTTCTTTCGGAATCCTCCTCACTTCCTTCGGATCATTATGCTTCTGGAAAACTGTTCTAAAACCGGAAACTTTAGTTAGAAGGATCGCAGAAACTCCATGTTCCTCATTATAATCATCAAGAACTTCCACCATGTCATATTTGTGTCTCACATCATCGGGTGTATGTTCATTCCAATCAGTAGACCAGTTCCTGTAAAGAGCCCAAACATCCCCTTTCCTTGGAAATATTCTAATTACTCCACGTGCACCTTTTGTATACTGAACCTTGTGGGAGAAAGAATTTAAAGTTTCACTAATTTCATGTCTGCCAATTCTGAACTCCCCACATGTTTTGGAGAAACCAGAGCCTATCCAGTCCAGCTCACCAAATTCGCTGTTGCTTCTTGAATTAAGCCAACTAATTTTCATCTTAAAAGGCTTCAAGGAGATCACCTTGTGAACTCGAGCATAGAAACGGGGCATGCCATCATCAGCATCATAAGCAGCCCAGACTTGATCATCTTCAAAAGAACTTTCACTTCGATCCAAGTCAAAATTATGAAAATCAGGATCCGGAACATTTATAGATATTGGTGCAGTCCCTCTATCAGATTCATTAGGAGAAGAGCTAGGCAGTGACTGCTTGACTTGGTAATCTTTATTGGCATCACATCCATCTCCGTTTGCCATGCTCCTCTGTTTCTTATTTTCTTTCTCTCTGACCTTCCCTTTAACTTTGTCACCATTTTTGGCTTCAGTTACAGAGCTCCAGTCCTTAAGCTTTTCACGAATCACACCCAGAGCCTTATCAATTAGCATGTTACGAATTTCAAGCATTGACAATTCTCTGTCACTCATGTGCTTGTTATAGTTACCAGGATACCCGTAGGTGCTTCCCATTCCAAAAAGGGTCCGAGATTCAGATGTGTTCCACAAGCCAGGTCCATTTCCCATAGGTATTTGAGTCTCCATGTTACCTGCATAACCATTAACATGATTGTCATCTTTTCTCTTTTTTCAGGAGTCTCTCCGCTTTAAGAGCTTCTTCACGTTCCCTTTTCACTTTCTCTTGAGCCAATCCATCATGTTGAGATCTAGAATAATTTGTTCCATAGTTAAATCGATTATCATTTACATTATGATGCCCAGAAGCCTGCTTCTGTTGGCTGGACCAATTTGACGACTGGTAAACATTTGGAGGAGGGGCCTTTTCTAAAGCCATGAAGGCCACATGACAATTAGGGCAAAGAAGTGTGTGATTCAAGTACACCCTGAGGTATTCATACTGTGTCTTGCATCTATTACAAACAGTCCAAAAGGTAGCAGGCTTTTTATTAGGAGGAAATGAGGTTTGACCTACCCGGCTATTATTGTTCTGAGTCCTAGCATTTGATGCTACATTAGAACTAGAACTATGAGAGCCATTTGTTCTGGGTGGCATTGATGAAACCCCACTCTGTGTATGAAACTTCTTTTGAGTTCCCCTGGAATTTATCCTTTGGTTATAAGCTAATCTCTTAGCCTGATCTGATAACAAGCTCCAGGCCTCCGAAACAAGCTTAAAAGCACCATCTGCACCTACACACTTGTTTTTGTCAGGGTGAAGCATCAGAGCCAACTTCCTGTATTGTTTTCTCACCATATCGTCATCAGCTGATGGGCTCACACCAAGCACACCATACCAATCAGCTTGCCCGCTTACTTTATTCTCGGCAGAAATATACACATCAAGGGCTGTCAACATCTGGGGAATACCATCAAGCCCAGGAAACAAGTTTTGAGCCTTCAAAGCAAATTTTTTAGCTCCTGCGTAATCCTTCTCCTTTACTTTCCTTTCAGCAATTTCTTTTGCTCTATATGCTTCATCTTTGTTGCACTCCATGATTTCAGACCGACTTCAATATAGCACCTAGGTATTATGAATATAGCAAAACTTCAAACAAAACCCACAATTTGCAGCTTAAAGCTCTTTCATGCCTTAAGACAGAGGTCACAGTTCCAAGTATTTGATGCCTGGACCAAAGAAAGAAAAGTTCTCTAAATAAAAATTTACAATAGTTAGAAATAATTGCATTACCAGTTGGGTATTATTCTATTAGCGTATAACCTTATGCCTTCTCAAAACAAACATAACAAATATTTATTGACTCTTGAGTTTTGATGGTTTTCTAGAGAAACCAATATTCTTAAACACAGATTGACACTAGAATCAAATCTTAAGAAGAAATAAGTTTCAGCATTATTTAAGCAGAAGCATGTGTGCAGATTCTTGCAAAATTTCAACACCACCCCAAGCACATATTTAATCAACGAGCCAAACAAAATATCATCACGAATCATGATCCCAAAATCTATTGCAAACAAACCTACCCACAACAAACCGCAAAAGGAAAAACTAACGAATTGTGATCCAATACCCGTTCTGCGAATCAAAGCAAACCACAAATTAGGTAACACTGATCATAGAATCAATTAAACATGGTTAGCTTTTTCAATCCACAGACAAAGGTTGTAATAAAAGAGAGCTTTCCGCTTTGCAGGCCGGATCAAAAGTTTCTTTGTGGTTTAGGGAGAAAACAATTTTTGTAATGAACCAGTGCAAAGAAAATCAACAATTTCCCTTCATAATTCTAACTAAGACTAACCTTCACCAAAAACAAAAGTTTCATACATAGCAGCAATGTGACTAGTAAATGTCCGAAATGCAACACCTCCATTTTTTACGAGATCACAAGTTTACCAACTTGTTACCATCGACAATAAGATGCGCATGAATTTTACACCACATCTCACGTATCATGAAGCTAACTTACTTAGCACGCCATGTCCTCTAAGACAACAAACTCAGTTTCTCAATCTAAAGCATACCAACAGTTCTACTTTATGCAACAGCCTAAAACCCCAAAACATTTTCCCCCGGGATAAAAGGACCAATTAAAATAACTCCAAATTAACTTCAAAAGAACAAGTTTAAGTCGCATTGAATAACCAAAACTAAGAACCCAGCTGTAAGGGAAACTACTAGGACGCTGAAGAGTAAATCGAACTTTCCAGA